ACCCAGAGAAGCAGCCTCACCAATACCTAGAGCAGCAGTCTCAATGCCCGGGTCGGGCGGAAAATACCGGTAACAGTCACCCTCATCACTACTAGTCACGACATACATGGCAGGAAGAATAGCACCGAAGTCAAGGTCAAAGATGGCTACTCATGCCCTAGACCACTCACCCTAGCGGGGGATCTCAGTGGCCTCTGGGAACTAGTGACACTAAGCGTCCAACTGGCGGCCAAAGCAGCGCTTGGTTGGGTGCGCACCCCCACACTGCTCACCCGCGCGGTCGCCAGTGCGTAGGACGTAGGTGCACGGACCAGTACCCCCACCCTGCTGACATGCAGCATACCACTCACAGAGCTGCTGAGAGGGGGGGGTGTCCCGAGTGCGCTGCTGCTACTGCTGCTGCTGCTACTGCTGGCGCGGACCACCACCGGAGCCGACCCGGACCAGCTCCACCTCCTCCGCTGCGTAGCGCCACCGCTGCGTAGCGCCACCCCGACCAGCTCCACCTCCTCCGCCACCGCCTCCGCCACCGCCGCCACCTCCGCTACCTCCGCTCCCACTGCCACCGCCGCCACCAACACTGTCACCCCCGCCACCACTCCCACCACCACCCCCACTCCCTCTGCCGCCTCCACCGCCGCCTCCACCACCCCCGCTAGCTCCTCCAGCGCCCTGGCCCTCCTTGCCCTTGCCAGAGCGGGGTCTCCCGCTAGGGGTAGACGCCGCACCGACCGACTCAAGACCAACGAGGTCGGCCGCAGCAGCAGAGGCAACACAGGGCAAAAGGGGGGAGGGGGAACAACCCTCAAAGATGGGGGTGCGAGGGTCACCACGAGAGGCTCCTACAGCGACTATGATCTTCTCTGCTGCTAGGAGGGCCTTCTCAAGGAGGTCAACGATGAGAGTGGTGGGAAAAACTGAGAGGAAGTGGTCCCTGACTACGCGAAGAGAGTCAGGGAGCCGGGTGACTATGTAGTAGAGGGTGATGTACATTGGGGGGGGTTCTTGGCGCAGAATTCAGCAGAAAGCGCAGTGTGGTTGCGAGTGTCACTAGTGCGCAGGTGCGTAATGAGGTCAGCGATTGTGGGAAAGGCAGTAAGGTCAGGGAAGAGGTACGGTAACATGAGGCGGCTCAGTCCAGCAGTGGCAGGGGAGGAGTAGCGTGCAACTACAGCGTCGTACAAGGTCTGAGCACTCTTGTACTGGCTAAAGTGCGCACGCACAGAGGTAGGCAGGTGGCGACGCACAGCAAGACGTGCAGCAGCATCGCGTGTGGCCAAGTGTGAGCGAACAGTGGCGTCAGCATCAGCAGCAGGGGGAGGAGAGGCACCATAGGTGAGGTCATAGAGGGAGAGACCGTTCGCCCTATCGCACTGTAGGAAAAGCTGCAGGTCATCTATCCAGACGTCAAAGTCAATGGCTCGACCCTCAGCGTCAAAAGCGAGGACACTAGGGGTGGCCATGACAGCAGTAGTCTAGTAGCGCGAACAGTGGGGTAAGGGCAATGCAGTGGTAGAGGCGCTGCTCTTACAAGACAGGGCCGGCTCAGGCGGTTTGGGCGGCAACTGCGGCTCGGCGGCTCGGGCGGCAACTGCGGCTCGGCGACTCGGCGGCTCGGGCGGCTCGGGCGGCTGGGGCGGTAGGGGTAGGCGACGGGGTCGGGGCCGCAGGTAGGCGACGGGGCCGGGGCCGTAGGTAGGCGAAGGGGCCAGGGCTGCATGTAGGCGACGGGGCGGGGGCCGCAGGTAAGTGACGGGGCCGGAGCCGCAGGTAGGCGACGGGGCCGCAGGTAAGTGACGGAGCCGGGGCCGTAGGTAGGCGACGGGGCCCTAGGTAGGTGACGGGGCCGCAGGTAGGCGACGGGGCCGCAGGTAAGTGACGAGGCCGGGGCCGCAGATAGGCGACGGGGTCGGGGCTGAAGGTAGGGTGGCACGAGGGCCGCGGGGTAGGTGACGGGGCCGCAGGGCGGTTGATCGGGGCCAGGAAGGGCGGCGCCGGAGCCGCAGGGCTAGGCGACGGGGTCGTTAGGGCGGCGGATCGGGGCCGAGAGGGCGGCGCGACGCAGCTGCTAGGGGGGCGCGACGAGATCAGAGAGGGGAGCGCGACTCGGGCAAAGGCTGAGCGCGCTCCTGGCAGGAAAAAAAACAAATCGAATCGGTGGGCCCTAGGAACAGTTCCCACGAGGGAACCGGCTAGATACCATGAGAAAACTGAAATGAGAATGAAATGACTAAGTGAAAGTTGGGTACAAATACAAAGCCTAGAAAGCTATACCCCATATGTGCTACCCCACTATAGCCTGCAATAGCTATGTCATATAAATCTGACAGTCCGTGGTTTAGGAGGCATATTGAACAGCAGAACTGATGCGAGGCTGTGCTCGGCGGTGAAAAGTCTTATTCCTTGTTCCCGTAATATATGCTCCAAGCCTCTTCCGCGATTTCCACTTCCAAGGGGACTGTTGCCTTTGGAGATTCCAGGGGTACCTTATCACCTATGTGTGACTAGGACAGTTCTTGATGGCAGATTCCGTTAGGCTAAAAATGCATTGTCGGAATGGTATGAACCCAATTAAAACCTGACAGCTGGTTCCGTGCGACGCTAAAACCAGTGGATAGCTGCTAGGAGACCCCTTGGGAAGACGTGGCGAGCTTACTAGCAGCGAGCTGACAGATCCCAGGGTCGACTCAAACTGATAGCCTGGAATTCGATAAGCATGCAAGATACCCGCATGATGGGTACAATTTAAATGTTTGCTTATAGAAGAACTCAAGCCGCATCTAATGGTGTAGTCTGTGTTGATAATATGAATCTCTAGCCTAGACATCGTCAGCTTTGAAGAGCTCGTCAAGATCCATGGCGACCTTAGCTGGACAACAGAAGCCATCATATTTTTTTTTTGGCATTGGTCACATACATGTTTCGTGTGTGTTCGCTTGTTTGGAAGACTGGTTGGAACTTTGCCTTGACTGCTTGTATGTTCACGTCGACAACGACGTTCCCGACACGTTACGTTCGCCACAATCAGCTTGTTCCAACAGATTTCGTATCAACTCAGATGACAGTTCAGTTCTAAGCTTTACAAAATAGATGTACAGCTCGTGTCAAATTGTACCTAGGTTCCCCACGAAAGCAGTTAAAAAACTACACTCTTGCTTGCGAAGTGACCACGTCCTCGCCAAACAGTTGAGCTATTAGCAAGCGCGTGGACGCAAACAGTGAGGTGAATTGCGATGCAGTTGTGCGAAGAATACATTGTTACTACTAGCCATTAGGGCGCGTCTTGCAGGGCGTGTTTTGTTCAATTGCATTTTTCTTTACGTAATTGTATGTGTGTTTTTTTTTTTTTTTTTTTTTTTTTTTTTTTTTTTTTTTTTTAACTGCTGTCCGCACGTCCAGAAACCGGTTTGTGTCCGCCTGACGCGAGCCCACTTTCTTTCACGCCGACATACAGTCTCGCCCGAACAAAACTGAGTACCGTTTCAGATGTCGCGAGCGGTAACCTTGCCGCCTTTAAAACAGAAATAGGCGTGGAAAAATGCCCTCGGGCATTCGTTAATTTCGTTTGAAACGTGCTGGTGATTTTCGCACTTCCGAGAACAGCTTGGCAAACCCAGAAATGTGTGTACATGTTATGTACTCGAGTGCATGGCACGTGCTGCACACGATCTAGGACACGTAAAAATATCGATGCAAGAAACGAATCCAGAAGGGACTGTCTGGCTCGCTCGTCAATTGCACGTGTTACAGGATATTATTGGGAATACCCGAAAATGAATGTACTTCCGCCTAACAAGACACGCCCTTATTGACCAGTCTCGATCTGGCATACGAATTGATGGTGTAATGAAGACGTGATTTTCATTGAGCCAGGACGTTTCGCAAATGAACCAAGTCGTGGCTCGTTTCGTTTCCTGCTTCGATAAAACCATTAAGTCTGGTTACATTGCAAAGTAGGGTACGGGTCCGTAGATTGTTTGAAAACGAATGGACCTGATCATCCTTAGAAGGCGTTCCCACAGTTTCCCGAAGAGAAAGTTCGCCCAGGCGGCTTGCAATTTGGCCAATTATGAGAAATTTGCCAACATGCGGCTCGAAGTTTGACCACCAAGATTCCCATCAAATTGGTCGTGCAAGTGTTCATCCGCAGCCGTATACGATCTCATCTGACGGCCCACGACGCCTACCGAATTATGCTACGACCCAACAAACGTTTCTGTGCTATTGCCCGAAGTTCAGCTGTCCGGTTTGCGAGTCAACGCCATTCAATAGCAAATGTTTTTTGTTTTCGATTTTTCGGGCAACGTTTTACGCGGTAGTCAGAAATCCCAACCGAGTCGTTGAGTCCATCCGATTGTCAGATGTGAAGGCCTATTGGGTGCGACTAGATTTTTTACGTGTGTACTGGTCAGAAGGTCGCAATCTGGTCGTAACGGCTCGCAAGGATGCGGTGTCCAGAGTGGGGCAGTACCCCACTCTGACCACCATCCCGATAATTTTTGAGCCTGGTGGGCAAACTTCAGTGTCGGGAAACTGTGGGAACGCTATCTTAGTTGAGATTTGCATGTAGGATATCATACCTTCCAGGATTGCAGTTCAGAATAGCAGACGCAGGACGCAAACGACGCAGGTTTCCTTCTCACTACGCCCGCTGCTTCCCTTCCGCTACCGCGCGCGCTGCTTCCCTTCCGCTCACCGCGCGCGCTGCTTCCCTTCCGCTCACCGCGCCCGCTGCTTCCCTTCCGCTCATCGCGCGTGCTGCTTCCTTTGCAATCACACCGATTGTATCGCAGTGTCCACCGTCGCCCCGCTGCTAAGACCTGCTTGCAGCCAGCTCACAGCCATCTTACTTCCAGCTCACCGCCGTCTTACTGCCAGCTCACCGCCGTCTTACTGCCAGCTCACCGCCATGTAACTGCTTACTGCGCGCTGCTCGAATTCGGATTCGATTAGATTCCATTTTGTTAGTGCAGGGGCGGCAGGAGTGAGGAGCGCACAGCATGGCGGCGGTGGTGGCGCGGTCGGAGGTGGAGGCGATGGTGCAGCTGCTGGGCGCGGACAAGGCCAGGCAGCGCGAGGTACGGCGGGTAATGGGGGCCTTGTGGGGCGTCTCAACAGTTTTGCGGGAGGGGCTTTTCATATCTCTCAAGAGGTGATGATGGCGCTGTTGGGCGCGGTCAGGGCCAAGCCGCGCGAGGAACCGCGGTAGGTAATGGGAGGGTGCTGCCAGGCCAGGGGTTGTGATGCGGGGTATTAGGGCGCCTCGGAAGGCGGTGGTTCAGCTAGTGGGGGTGGAGTGAGCCTAGCAGCACGGGGTGCGGCACGGGGTGCGGCACGGGGTGCGGCACGTGACAGGGGGCTGAACCTGGCGTTATCACAGGGGCTATGTTGTGCGATGGATATGGTGTGCGGTGGAAATGGTGTGCGGTGGATATCGTGTGCGGTGGATATGTTGTGAGTAGTCCCTTTGCTGCTGCTTGGATTCAAGCTCTTCTCCCATACCTTTCTTCTGTGTTGTTATTTGTATACTGTGCTTCGCATGCTGTGCGTCTCGTGCTGTGCTTCTTGTGCTGTGCTTCTCATGCTGTGCTTCTCGTGCTGTGCTTCTCGTGCTGTGCTTCTCATGCTGTGCTTCTCGTGCTGTGTTTCTCGTGCTGTGCTTCCCGTGCTGTGCTGGCAGGAGGGCTTTAGGAGGCTGCATCGCTACATGCACGACTCGTGCATGCTGTCCTTCTGCACCGCTCTGGACCGAGGTACTGACCAGAGGGTACTGCCCCGTTGCCCCTTTGCCCCATTGCACCATTCCTGCATTTCCCCATTTCCCCATTTCCCCATTTCCCCATTTCCCCATTTCCCCATTGAACCATTTCCCCATTGAACCATTTCCCCATTGAACCATTTCCCCATTGAGCCATTTCCCCATTTCCCCATTTCCCCATTGAACCATTTCCCTATTGAACCATTTCCCCATTGAACCATTTCCCCATTTCCCCATTTCCCCATCGCCCCATTTCCCCATTTCCCCATCCCCCATTACCTCCATTCTCCCATTCCTCCATCAATCACTAATCATTCCCCCATTTCCCCAACTCCCTTTGTCCCACTGCCTTAGCGCCCCTGCCGCCGTGTTGGCGCATGAGATAGCTCTGGTGCACGCGCATGGCAGTGCTGCGCACGCGCATGGCAGTGCTGCGCACGCGCATCCAAAGGGACGTGCTCGCCACACACACCACCTTTTGCCATATTCTAATGTTCTCCTGTCTCCATATTGCCCTGTTTCCCTGTTGCCTTGTTGCCCTGCTGGCACACACACACATGCAACAGAGGACCTGTGGTGGCATCACTGTGGTGGCATCACTGTGGTGGCATCACTGTGCACTGCCGTCCAAAGGGACGTGCTCACCTCACCACACACACCACCTCTTGCCCTGTTGCCCTTCCCTGTCACCCTGTTTCTCTGTTGTCCACGCTTACACGCAACAGAGGAGCTGTGGTGCACCGTGGTGGCAGCGCTGTGCACGGCCATCAACAGGGACATGGTCGCCACACCGTACACACCACCCTTTGACTTGTTCCCCTGTTGCCCTTCCCTGTCACCCTGCTCCCTTGCTGGCACACACACACACACACACACACTCACACACACACACACACACACACACACACACATACACACACACACATACACACACACACACACACACACACACACACACACACACACACACACACACACACACATGCATCAGAGGAGCTGTGGTGCACCGTGGTGGCAGCGCTGTGCACGGCCATCAACAGGGACGTGCTCGCCACAAACGCCACGCGCACGCGCCGCACCCACAGGCAGGAAGCAGCGAGGGAGCTGCGGAGGCTGATAGAGGCGGCAGATGAGAGAGGTGCTGTGAGGGAGAGGGGGGGAGGAAGGGGGGGTGTGAGAGGGAGTTGGAGGGGTTTGCATGCAGAGGGGGGTGGGTGGGTGGATGCAGTGAGTGAGGCACACGCAGGCAGGAAGCAGCGAGGGAGCTGAGGAGCCTGTAGAGGCCGCAGCTGAGAGAGGTGCCACGAGTGCCGGGTGAGGGGGTTGTGGTGGAGGGGGTTGTGGTGGAGGGGGTTGTGGTGGAGGGGTTTGGGTGTGGAGGGGTTTTGGGTGTGGAGGGGTTTGGGTGTGGAGGGGTTTGGGTGTGGAGGGGGTCGGGAATGGGGATGCTTCTGTGTGAGGGTTATTTTTGAGATTTCTCAAATGCATCTGTCAGGGAGGGATGCAGTGAGTGCGGCTCGCACAGCTGCCGGAGTCACTGCTGTCAGAATCCCAACCACTTAGACCATTGGGATAAAAGGGCTTGTTTGTGTAGCGGGTGAGTGCGCCCATAACCCCCCAGGCCAACATGCCTCTAACCCTTCCCTAGGATCAATCAGGGAACTCCAATGCACCTCTGACAACTGCCTCCATCCCCCCGCTCTTCCCCTCACTTCCCCTCACTTCCCCTGCCTCCCCCAGTACCCCCACCCCCTCTAGCGCTCACCCCTTGTGCCTCAGCAGCAGGGTGTGCACGGCGTGTCAGCACATAGCATCCGCACGACCCAATTCACTGCCTCCACATCCCCCCTCTCGTCCCTTCCCCTCCCCTGCCTTCCCAGTCCCCCCACCCCCACTGGGCGCACACCCCTTGCGCCTAGCCACCAGGGTGGGCACGGTGTGTCAGCACATAGCAGCCACACTAATCGTCTAATTCTCCTTCCTCCTTTGCTCCCCTCCCCTGCCTTCCCAGTCCCCCCACCCCCACTGGGCGCCCACCCCTTGCGCCTAGCCAACAGGGTGCGCACACTGTGCCAGCACATATCAACCACGCTGCCCCTGGCGCCCTCCTTCCTCACCGACTACTGTCACACGCTGCTCGCGCTGCTTGCCGTGCCTGACTATGCGCTCTGCATCACCCACACCAAGACACTGCGAGGTGAGACGTGGTGCGCACCGTGTGTCAGCAGATAGCGGCAATGCTGCACTGCCTCTGGCGCCCTCCTTTCTCACCGAATACTGCCATGCGCTGCTCGCCCTGCTCGCCGTGCCCGACTATGCGCTCTGCATCGCCCACACCAAGACACTGCGAGGTGAGATGGGGTGCGCACGGTGTGTCAACACATAGCAGCAATGCCGCCCTGCCCCAGGCGCCTGTTTTTCTCAGGTGAGATGAGTGCGGTGCTGTACGGTGAGAAGGGTGCTGTGCTGCGAAGTAAACTCCGAACCTTTTCATTTGACCGTGCCATGCCGTAGAGTCTGAGAGGGCAACGTTGCACAACATATCACATCACATAGTCTTCCCCATTCCCACTCATCACTTGTTTGCCTCCTCGCGTGTGTCCTCTGTGCCCTCTTTGCCCTCTGTGCCCTCTGTGCCCTCTGTGTCTTCTGTGCCCTGCGTGTGGGCTGCAGAGCTCATCACATTCTTTATGAGCCACCTGGAGCTGGCAGTTGGAGCAGCTACCGCCACCACAACACCAGGAGTGCTCCTCCCGCCCGCGTCGGCATCACCTGCTGCTGGTGCCGCTACAGTGTCCAGTCTGGAGGCCGCTTCCTCCGTGCTGGCGCTGACTCGCTGTGCTGCGGGCGGAGCCTCCCTGAAGGTGCAGCAGCAGCGCGACATGGTAGCCAGCTTTACCCGCATCTTCACTCACCTCAGGTGCGAGTTTTGAGAATTCACACACCTCAGGCATGGTGCTCCTGCCGCTGTTCACACATGTCAGGTGCGAGTAAGTTTTGAGAATTCGCAAAAGCAGCAGCGCGACATGGCGGCCAGCTTCACGCGCATCTTTACTCACCTCAGGCAGGTTGCTCGTGCCTCCGTTCCCACACCTCTGAGAGTAATCAAAAGCAGCAGTGTGGAGTCGCTACCAGCTTCACACGCCTGAGGTTGCATTCGCCGCCACGTTCCGATCATTCCAGCTTGTATTTTCACCTCAGCTTGCATTCTACCAGAAAAGCTGTGGCAGCCCTTTGTTTGGCGCGTGACAGCCCATTGCACCTTTGATAACCTCACCTTCCTTTTTTTCATCCTTTCTGCACTCTTGGGCTGGGTGGGCCCCCTTCATCCTGTTGCACGCAGCAGGTGCACCGACAGGGTAGCGGCACAATCAGGGGCTTGGTGACTCGCGGTGTGCCTTGCGGACAGACCACTTAGTGTGCCCATGCTCCTCATGCTCCTCATGCTCCTCATGCTCCTCATGCTCCTCATGCTCCTCATGCTCCTCATGCTCCTCATGCTCCTCATGCTCCTCATGCTCCTCATGCTCCTCATGCTCCTCATGCTCCTCATGCTCCTCATGCTCCTCATGCTCCTCATGCTCCTCATGCTCCTCATGCTCCTCATGCTCCTCATGCTCCTCATGCTCCTCATTCTCCTCATTCCCCCACACCGCAGTGACGACGGCCGGTTGGCACGCAAGCTGCTGGCGTGTGGGGCAGCCTTCCTCGCAGCGTGTGGGAGGGGCCTTGCTGCAGCAGGGGAACTGGCGGGGCTGCTAGGTGCACTCAGGGGCTTTGTGGTGCGCACGTGGCACTGCACTCGGGATGAGAATGTCATGGTGAGTCAAGATAGCAGTGCATGTGATGGCGAGCGCAGACTCACTGGTGATGCCTGTGATGGATCATTGCACTGACAGGGTTGCTGGGTGCACGCGGGGACTTTGTGGTGGGCACGTGGCACTGCACACGAGATAAGTTTTGAGGCGCCACAGCACACAGGACGAGAATGTCATGGTGAGTCAAGATAGCGGTGCATGTGATGGCGGGCGCAGATGCATTCGGTAAGCCCTCCCAGACACACATCTGCTGCATATGATGGACATCGTTCCAAGGGGGATGCTGGGTGCACTGCACTCAGGGGCTTTGTGGTCAGAACAGAACGTGGCACTGCACAGCACACAGAATGAGATGAGAATGTGAGGATGAGGCAAGACACAGTGTGCATGGGATGGGATGGGATGGGATGGGATGGGATGGGATGGGATGGGATGGGATGGGATGGGATGGGATGGGATGGAGGGCTCCACACCACAGCTGCTGCAACGCATGTCATGGCTTCACACGCTCTTCCGCCCCTCGCCCCTCCCCCTTTTCCCTTCAGGAGGGCCTCGTTCTCTCTGCGCGCATGCTCGTGCGCCTCACAGCAGGAGGGGAACTGCACGACGGCGATGATGGGAGCGAGGAGGGGGCGGAGGGGGCACCGCTGGCAGCAGGAGGGGGTGGAGGGGGCAGCAGCAAGGTGCAGAGCGAGTTGCAGAGGGAGGTGCAGAGGGAGGTGCAGAGGGAGGTGCTGTTGCTGGTGGTGAAGGAACTCTCGCGCTCCTCCACTGCTGCTAGCACCACTGCCTCTGCCAGCCTGCTTCGAGGGTGCGTGGCGGGGCGGGTGATAGTGAGCGGGTGGCTGGGTGGGTGCTGGCTGGATGGCTGGCTGGCGTGGCAGGGTGGGTGGGTGGGTAGATGTGAGGATGGTGGGTGGGTGGATGGGAGGATAGTGGGTGGGTGGGTTAACTTGTGCTCTGCAGTTTCGTCGTTCCACTCTGGAGTGTACGGGGCGTGACATAGGTAGACGCTGGGCCAGTTGACTTTTGAGTCGACTCAAAAGTCAACTCTGGAGTGTACGGAGCGTGGCATAGATAGATGCTGGGCCAGCTCCCCCAGCAATGCACTGCTTCCCTCCCTGTACGCCTCACTGCTTCCCTCCCTGTACGCCTCACTGCTTCCCTCCCTGTACGCCTCACTGCTTCCCTCCCTGTACGCCTCACTGCTTCCCTCCCTGTACGCCTCACTGCTTCCCTCCCTGTACGCCTCACTGCTTCCCTCCCTGTACGCCGCACTGCTTCCCTCCCTGTACGCCTCACTGCTTCCCTCCCTGTACGCCTCACTGCTTCCTTCCCTGTACGCCTCACTGCTTCCCTCCCTGTACGCCTCACTGCTTCCCTCCCTGTACGCCGCACTGCTTCCCTCCCTATACGCCTCACTGCTTCCCTCCCTGTACGCCTCACTGCTTCCCTCCCTGTACGCCTCACTGCTTCCCTCCCTGTACGCCTCACTGCTTCCCTCCCTGTACGCCTCACTGCTTCCCTCCCTGTACGCCTCACTGCTTCCCTCCCTGTACGCCTCACTGCTTCCCTCCCTGTACGCCTCACTGCTTCCCTCCCTGTACGCCTCACTGCTTCCCTCCCTGTACGCCTCACTGCTTCCCTCCCTGTACGCCTCACTGCTTCCCTCCCTGTACGCCTCACTGCTTCCCTCCCTGTACGCCGCACTGCTTCCCTCCCTGTACGCCTCACTGCTTCCCTCCCTGTACGCCTCACTGCTTCCTTCCCTGTACGCCTCACTGCTTCCCTCCCTGTACGCCTCACTGCTTCCCTCCCTGTACGCCGCACTGCTTCCCTCCCTATACGCCTCACTGCTTCCCTCCCTGTACGCCTCACTGCTTCCCTCCCTGTACGCCTCACTGCTTCCCTCCCTGTACGCCTCACTGCTTCCCTCCCTGTACGCCTCACTGCTTCCCTCCCTGTACGCCTCACTGCTTCCCTCCCTGTACGCCTCACTGCTTCCCTCCCTGTACGCCTCACTGCTTCCCTCCCTGTACGCCTCACTGCTTCCCTCCCTGTACGCCTCACTGCTTCCCTCCCTGTACGCCTCACTGCTTCCTTCCCTGTACGCCTCACTGCTTCCCTCCCTGTACGCCTCACTGCTTTGTCACCGAATACGCACGGTCGTGCATATAAGGTGCCAGTTATGTTGAGGTGTAGTTCTGGTGCAGCAATGTTGAGTATGAATATTCGAGGGTAGGTAGTTGGGGAACCAGGGAAGTTGACGCGAGGTTGGTAGGAGAGCACCAAGGGAGAAATCCACGCGACCAATGTGATTGAACCAACCCAAGCTCGAGCCGCACATTGAGAAATGCACGGTTCGAGGCCAGGCCAGGTAAAGTCACTCTCTCACACATCCCTGATGCTTTCCGTTTGTTATCCTTTCGCATAGTGGAGAGTTGTTTCCTTAACTCACAGCTAGGTGGCACACCACTCAGAGAGGACCCTTGAGGTGGGAGTTCCGACTCTTTCATAAGAGAATGGCTGAGAAGTGGCTGAGGCAGCAGAAGGAACTGAGAAGAAGAAGAGAATCAGAATGCAGGCAGATGACTAGCAGAGCTGTTTCTCCAACAGCTTTCCTCCCTGTACGCCTCACTGCTTCCCTCTCTATACGCCTCACTGCTTCCCTCTCTGTACGCCTCACTGCTTCCCTCTCTGTACGCCTCACTGCTTCCCATGAGCTGCTCGTGCATCCCCCACTCCCCCTCCGCCTTCCCTCTCCGCCTCAAACCCCCTCGCTGCAGTCTGGATGTGCGGGCAGTGACAGCAGCGTCCAGGTCATCGCTGCACGCATCATCCTCCGTGGCGCAATCCCATTGGCCAATCATGGACCTCGCTGCCTCGCTCCTCTCCCAGGTGCCATCGCCTCACCTCCTCTCCTTCCCAACATTCCCCCTTCTCCCGCCATTACTCACTCTATCTCCTCCCCTCCCTTCCACCTTTGCCCGCCACCTCTCATGTCATACATTCACTCTCCCTCCGTCCCCGCTCCCTTCTCCCCCATACTCCCTTCTTGCTCTCTTGTTCTCGTCCCATTGTATTTTGCATCCAACAGCGCACCCGTTGCGGCTCAGCTCTCGTTTATCCCTCATTTCCTTGTGTCACTTCTAACAACCTGCCACTGTGGCATTGTGTTTCTGCATTGCTCGCTACCGATACATGCAGCAACCGCACCACCTACCACCACCATCACCACAGTCACCGCCACCAGCAGCAGCAGCACCACATGCTGCGGAAGAAGACGAAGACGGCCGCCCGGCAAAGAGGCAACGGAGAGGCGCTGGCGCTGGCATTGGCACATTGGGCACGGCACCAGGCGGCGGCGTGGGAGCAGGAGCACTGGCAGGTGTATGTGTGGGCGCTGCTTATGAAGGCAGTGGTGGTGGTGCGGGTGGCTCCTCGGTGTGGGCCGTGTTGGAGGAGCATATCACACTCGGCACTGCTCCCTGGTGAGGCACTGCTCCCTGGTGAGGCACTGCTCCCTGGTGAGGCACTGCTCCCTGGTGAGGCACTGCTCCCTGGTGAGGCACTGCTCCCTGGTGAGGCACTGCTCCCTGGTGAGGCACTGCTCCCTGGTGAGGCACTGCTCCCTGGTGAGGCACTGCTCCCTGGTGAGGCACTGCTCCCTGGTGAGGCACTGCTCCCTGGTGAGGCACTGCTCCCTGGTGAGGCACTGCTCCCTGGTGAGGCACTGCTCCCTGGTGAGGCACTGCTCCCTGGTGAGGCACTGCTCCCTGGTGAGGCACTGCTCCCTGGTGAGGCACTGCTCCCTGGTGAGGCACTGCTCCCTGGTGAGGCACTGCTCCCTGGTGAGGCACTGCTCCCTGGTGAGGCGTGCCCGCTTGTGAGGCGTGCCCGCTTTTGAGGCGTGCCCGCTGGTGAGGTGCTGTCCCGTTCATCTCCCCACCCCCCCACGCTAAACCTTAGAATTCAAAGCCCAGCCGTACTCTACTTCCGCCAGTCTTGCTTCTCCTCAAACCTTCCTTCTTCCAGCACTTACCGCTCTCTTCGTTGCTTCTGCATCTCTTACCCCTCCCTCCATCCCTCCCCCCTCCCTCCATCCCTTCCCCCTCCCTCCATTTCTCCCCGCTCCCTCCACCCCTCCCCTTTCCTCACGTCTCTCCCCCATTCCTCCATCTCGTGCCTCTCCCTCCATCGCCCCCGCTCCCACCACCTGCAGGCTAACAGCCCTGTGTGTGCTGCTCTGCGACCACAGCCACTCCATACCGCCACACACCCTGCACCGCTGGCTTGCCCTCCTGCACTCGCACCTCGCCAGGTGACCTGATGCTGCCTTCCCATGTGCATCGAGTCGAATAAAAGAGTGCAACCTGGCTTACTCTCGTGCCCTCGCTCCTCTAGGCCTGCTGCTGCCATCCGCTGCACCCATCATGCATTCACCTTTCATACCACTCATCATTTCCCCACTAAGTGTACTGCCATCGTTCCTCTCTGCTGGCTGGCTCGCCTGCCATCTTCTGCCTACCAACGTCTGTAAACCACCACTCCCCTGCAACCGCACTGCACCTCTTCAGCGCGTAAACACGCCCCTGCCTGCACGTGCACATGCCCCCCTCCCTAACCCCAGGCGCTTCTTGAGGCGCCACAAGTCCGCTGTCTGCGTGTGTACCTCCGTGCCTCCGGGGCAGCAGGTGGATGCAGGATGCGCGGCACAAGGGCGACTTTTGAGTCGACTCAAAAGTCAGCCCGCCCCTGCTTCCCATGTGCATGCCTGTGGCCCTTTCCCAGAGCAGGTGGATGCAGGATGCGAGGCACAAGGGCTCGTTGCCAACACCCATCTGGGCGCTCAGGTGAGGCTCTGCGCTGTGCTGCCACTTGCCCATCTGCCAGATGGGTTTTCTGCTGTGGAGCGATTTTTTCACCCTGTGATCCCACCGACGGTTGTCTTGTCTTGTTCCTGTCCCATTTTGTCCCTGTTCCTGTCACAGTCAGCAACAGGGTTGAAACAGATCCCTCCCTCTCTGCCCTAGATCTTGCCCTGAGGCACAGGGCCTCAGCCATGCAACTTTTACTGTCTGCCAGGGCCCCACCCCACCAATGGCATGTGCGTGTGTGCAGGCACAGCTTGCCTCACCTCACACAGCTTGTCTCACCTCACACAGCTTGTCTCACCTCACACAGCTTGTCTCACCTCACACAGCTTGTCTCACCTCACACAGCTTGTCTCACCTCACACACTAATCATCCCATCTCCCTCCCTTGGCCCATCAGGTGCCTGCAGCAGCTGTGCACGCTGCTCACCGCTCCTCACCCTCTGCATCGGTCAAGCCAAGTTCCTCTCAGCAGCAGCCCCGCAGCAGCTTCACCACAGCACCCGCAGCACCCTCCTCCGCAGCATCTGTCGCTTGCTGCTCTGTGGCAGAGCGTGTGGGGCGAGGTCACTGCTGCTCTCCCTGCGCTGCCTCTTGCATTGGTAATTGCTGCCCTGCCGCGCTTCACCCAACCTGTCTCCTGCATCTGCAGTCGTCAAGTTTTCTGCTTCTTGATGTGCCCCTTTCTTCTCCGAGCTTCCCTCTCCTCTTCGGCCCCTGTCCCCCAGTTTCTGCTGCTGCCTCGCTGACTTTTGAAATGAAATGAAATGTACCACTTTGCCAGGTTGATTCTATTATAAGGCGCCTAAAAATCCTTCTGCTGCTGCCGTGCTGACAGCTGTTGACTATGAGGTCCAATCTCCAACTTGGGCCTTCCGTTCCGTTCCCCCCTTTGCCATCTCGCCAGGTGGAGCCATGCCTCTCGCTCCTCTCCACCTTACTGCAAGCGGTGAGTGCAGGTGCCATGTGCCATTTGCAACCATGTATGAGTGAATGGATGTGCATGTGCCATCCGTACAATGATGCAATACATACAGATGAGATGGCAACTCATGCAACTGTATGGATTGCATCATTGTACGGATGGCAACTCGTAAACGCAAGCGAGTGCTGCTCACCTCGTGAGTGCATGACGTATGTAAACGCAAGTGTCAACCGCTGCACTGTATGATGCTTTCCGTCTGTTCAATGTCCAGAGAAAGGCAACCGTGACGCTGCGTATTCATAGCCAACCACTGCAGAACCAATCAAATTAATTTATTCCCTGCAACTACTCCATTCATGCCCTTCTGTGTAATGCTGTTGTCTTAACTGAAATGGTCTTTCCTTCTGTTCCGTGTATGCCTGCCATTCCCCTCTTTTATCCCCCATGCGTGATGACTCTACACAGGGTGTTGTGCAGGACGTGATACCTCCCAGGGAGCTGCTGGCATTGCCGCAGTTCAAGGAGGGAGCAGCACTCGCGAGGTGAGCAGCACTCGCGAGGTGAGCAGCACTCGCGAGGTGAGCAGCACTCGCGAGGTGAGCAGCACTCGCGAGGTGAGCAGCACTCGCGAGGTGAGCAGCACTCGCGAGGTGAGCATGGACCTGGCATTGCCAGCCTACTCAAACATATTATTACTCAATCGTTTCGCCATGCCAGAAACAATAGTTCCTCTAGCCACCAACGACCCACCTCCAGCTCTGCCATGGCCCATGGCCTGGTTGGGCTTCTGTTGAGCCACCAAGGTCCGAGCATACCTCTGCCCTTTCGGATCTTCGTTTTTTGCGGCACTCTATGTTGCGTTTTCATGCTCCCACACGCATGCCCTTTCCTTCCACTCCCACGCATGCGCATCCCAGTGGTATGGGCCTCTTGCTTCCGCTTTCTCCCTTGTTCCCGTCACCAGTGCAACTCTGCAGTTTGCAGCCGCACTTCTATCCAATACAGCCTTCCAGGTACTATGCTTTGCTTCTTGCATCGCCCGTCAACTACTTTGTTCTCTTTTGCCAACTCTGCCCACACAGCTCTCCCCGGCCTCCCATCTTTCCTTTGCTGGACCCGCAACGAGTCTTGTTTGTGTAAGAATCTTCAGCAGGCTGGGAAACAAAAAACATTTGTGATTGTATCAGCAAAAATTAGGGTCTACTTCACACAAGTACATGAAAAGGAAAACAATCGATGGTTTATCCAACCCATCTTCCACTCCACCTCCCCACTCTTCTCCCTACCAGCGCCAGGAGGCAGCACTGCTGGCGCTGAATCCAGCTGCCACGTCACCGCTCAGCTCAGCACGCGTGGCATTGCTGCAGTGGCTGCTTGCGGGAATGGCCAACGAGGTGGGCAGCTGCAGTGCGGTGCAGTGAGGTGAGGTGAGGTGAGGTGAGGTGGTGGTGTGATAAAAGCGCTGGTGTGTGAGTGCCTTTCTGCTCCACATTCTGCTCCCTCCATGCCTTCCTTACTGCATCCGTATCCACATGCACTGTGCTCATCCAATTTGAGGTGGTTTTGGAGGGGGCTCAAAAATCACTTCATCCGCATGCCCTTCCAGATTGGCATTGTGCATGCCTCCAAACTCCAACCCCCATGGCCTTTTTTCCGCATCCGCCTATTGTTGCGCTTCAAAGAATGACCTCCCACTGTGCTGCCCTGTGTTCATTTCAACCCTTCCACCAGGCTCACGGCCCATCCCTCTCCTCCAGAGACTCCGAGCTCTCTCACCCCATCACCCTGCGCACCGCTCTGCACCGCACTCACCGCCCACCGGAACCATTTCTGCTTGCAGCTGCCCTGTGTGCAGCAGTGACAGGCGAAGCACCCTGCACCCGCATATCCGCTCCTGCAGCTGCTGCAGCTGCTGCTGCTGCTGCCGCCTCTCTTGCTGCTGTGCCTGGCGCCGCTGGTGCCCCGTCCTGTCCTTCCGCGTGCTCCGTGCCCACCTCCTTCCACAGTGACTGGTGGTTCCCTGTAAGCACTTGGCGGATGTGTGGGATGGTTCTTGTCATTGCCTTGGAGCATTGGTGTAGACGAAGAAAGAGAGGGCAACTTCATGAGAGTTCCTGTGCATGTGCCGAGCTGCCAACTTTCTTTCTGTCCCCCTGCCCACATTCTTTCTGTGCCCACAAGCCATCCATCTCTCTGCCTGCACCTGTGGGCGTGCCCCCATGCCCCACCATCAGCTGCATGAAGATGTGAGAGACATGGAGCCAGCACTCCCTCACCTACACCGCACCCCTCACTGCCTCGTTGCAGCAGCTGCACGGGCAGCTGGAGCTGCAACATGTGCCCCTCACACTGCCTTGTCGCTTGGCGTGCCACACTCTGCTGCTGCTCCCCCTCTGTCGTCGTCCCCGCCATGGCTTGCAGCATGTCAGGTATACCAAGGGAAGGTGGTGCCGTTGGTAGTAGAGCTACTTGCATGTGAGGGTTACTTGCTGTGCACAGGGTAGGTAAGCAGCGCGTGCACTTTCAAAATCTTGTCTCTTCGCCACCCCAACTCATGTTGCCTCTACACCTTTTCACATAATTTGGCATTCCCTCCTTGTATCGTCTAAGGTTACGTGTCGCTCTTCGTGTACTTCTGATGTTACTTGTTGCTCCTCTACTTCTTGTCTTGCAACATCTTCATCCTCACCTTTCTCTTCCTCTCTTCCCGTCCCTCCCCTTCATCCTCCCTCACACGTCCAGCAGCACAGGGACAAGCACATACCTTCCCTCGCCTCGTCCACCTACTCCCCACCCTCGGCCGCCCTCACGCTCTCCCGCTCGCTCCTTGACTCCACGCGCGTTCTGCCGCTCTCCCAAGCAGCCCTCTCCACACTCGCCGCGCTCATCTGCCCGCCAAACAGTGCAGCAAGAGACGTTGGCTGTGGTGAGGCAGATGTGGTGGGAGGAGGGTCAGGAGGAGGGGAAAGTGAGTGGGTGGAGGGTAGAGGCTCAGCTGGCAGCTCTGGGGAGGGCGGTGGGGATGGCGCTGGTGGGGATGGGAGGTGGAGCAGTGCTGCTGGTGGTGGCAGTGATGGCGGTGGTGGAGGCACAAGAGCGAGCAGTCTGTGGGTGGCAGCAGTGGGGCTGCACTGCTGTCGCCTGCTCTCCCACTCCTCCTTCACCAGGTGCCTTCACTTGCCCACGTTTGAGGCTTCACTTGCCCACGCACATCCATCCACCCAACAGCACGACTCTACGTCTTTTTCTGTTTCGTGTGTGCAAATGGTCTGTGTCACAAAGGAGGAGGATGGTATTTGACTTACAACCGGCAATGACTACAATTTTGTGTAATATTCTCTCCCTTCTACCCTCTGCTGCAGAACGTTTTTGAGAATTCTCAAAAACACCCGGCAATGGCTACAATTGTGTGTAATATTCCCAACTTCTCAATGGTTCTATCCTCTGCTGCAGAACCCTTCCTCCCAACTTCCTCCCGGTTCCTCTTGACTCCTCTGAGTCATGAGGACGATGCCCTGTGATCTCTCTCTCTCGAATGGACCTCTATTAATAATCCGAAATTGGTACAGCACACTAGTAAGGGGGTTAAACAGGCAAGATAGGACTATCTACGGCATCTTGAACAGTGGCTCGAGCACGTGCAAGAGGTCCCCGGTACCAAGGGGCTCCTTCTGGAAGGAGGTCGGGGCAGCTGCGGCCTCAAAGGCCGTGAGGGTCTTGGTGACAGTGAGGGGCTCATCGTGCGCTTTTCTCTCATCGTGCGCTTTTCTCTCATCGTGCGCTTTTCTCTCTCTCCCTTCCTCCCTCACCTGCAGATCCCTTCCTCCCGACCTCCTCCCCGGGGGTCTTCTGGAGAAGCAGAGTCTCCAGTCAGTTGTAACAGCTCTCGCGTCTTCACCATCCATCACTCCCACCACCTCTCTGGACCTTCCCTCCCTCCCACTCATCCGCGACCTCCTCTCCATCTTCCCCCGCTCGCCTGCTTCCCTCCCTCTCCTCTCCGCCATGCTTCGACTCGCCACCACCTCCTATACCACCGTGGCCGAAGCAGCGGCAGCAGCGGCAGCAGGGGCGGGAGGCGGAGGGACAGGGGGGGGTGAAGCGGCAGTGTCGGCCCTCTCCCTGCCTCCAGCCTCTGCTGTAACCTTCGCCGCGAGGAGTCGCCTGGACGACGATTTTGACGACGACTGGGAGTTTCAGCAGCCGTCTGCTGCCACCAGTGGGCTGCACGGTGGGCGGCAAGGTGGGCACAGTGGGCTGCACGGTGGGCGGCAAGGTGGGCACAGTGGGCTGCAATCTGCTGGCGGAAGGGGCGGGAGAGGCAGGGCAAGAGGAAGACTGGGAGGAATGATGGGGTCGAGATCAGGAGCAGTTGTACCCAGCTTTCAGCCTCAGCTGCAGCAGCAGGTGATAGAGCTAGAGGAGGAGGGTGGGGAGGGGGAGGAGACTCGGATATTTGACAATGAATTGGATGCGCCTGGAGTGCTGCCGTCCCAGGCTCCCCTGGTGCGCAGCAGGAACACACAGAGCGCGTGGCGGGACGGAGCAGGGGGCAGTGGCGCTGCCGCCGGTGCTGCTCGTGCTGCTGCTACTACTACTGCTGCTGGGGTGCTGACAGGTTTGAGTGGTGGTGGTGGCAGTGCAACAGCAGCGGAGGTGGCAGAGGGAGCGGTGTGGATGGTGGGGTGGGTGGCGGAGTTCCTTCCAGCAGCGGCGTGCAGAGAGGTGGTGCTGCTGCTGGAGCTTAGTGAAGACTCCGAGGTGTGTGCTGGGCAGTGCTACCCTGGCCACTTGGTGCTTTGCAGTCGGCACTGGGAAGTAGTCAGTGGGCAGTGGGCAGAGGGCAGTGAGCAGAGGGCAGTGGGCAGAGGGCATTGGGCAGTGGGCAGAGGGCAGAGGGCAGTGGGCAGAGGGCACTGGGAACAATAAAAGTGGGAGGAGCAACAAGGACACGGATGCTGGAAGTGATGTCACTTGCTTCGCCCCTTGCAAACACCACCCGTCCCACGTTTCCTACTCTCTCACTTCACTTCACTCAAACGAAGGAAACGGATAGAAAACTGCAAGCTCGGTTGACCGACCTAAGTAATCTGAGTAGAAAAGTTCACTGAGTAGAAAAGTTCACTGAGTACTAGGCGAGAACACGTGTAGGTAAGCGTAGTAGTATTAAAAGGCAGATTACAAGTGGTTCAGAAAACGTACGCGCGTTTCGGCTTTGTGGGCCTTCATCGGCGTTTCTGATTCCGATTCCCTTTTTTTTTCTGGACCCCCCCCCCCCCTCCTCAGTGCTACTGGCAGTTGCTCTCCGTGCTTGCATCACACGCTGAAATATTGATAGCACTCGAGCCTGTGGTAAGACCGCACTTGTTCCGATCACCCTTTCAGTCGACTAAAACTATTAGAACTGTCAATAAATCGCACTTGAGCATGAGGCAACTCTGCACTGCTCCAGGTCCGATTACACTGCCTGCAGCAGACTGGTTTCAACAGCGCTCTCATGACTGAGTCGTCACTAGCACAAAGCATTGCTTGTACCATTTCTCTATGGTGGTCTCCATGTCCGGCTACTTTGCATTCCTTGCGCTTCTGTCTCACATCAGCTTTTGGCATGCGTCGTGTGGGACACGGGGCCCCTGTTTCCATCCCACCCATCCCCCATGTTGTACTATCTTTTATACAACGTGCATGTCCACGGACCACGGCCACGCCCTGGAAAAAATGACACTTTTTTATGACAAGTTTGAGTGCATGCATGGCAACGCCAGCATGTGAGGGGCATCGTTCTTGTCACCTCCACCACCCCTTCCACTTACCCCCCTTTTGCCCTCTTCCGCCTCGCAGCTAGCAGCCCTGGAGTCCCATGCATCCACCACACTGCACTCCCACCAGCAGCACCTCCTTCACCTCACAACCACAACTGCCTGCCGCCTTGCAGCGCACAAGGACGGCGCCCTGCCGCCCGCCCTGCTCCGAGATGAGGGCGTGGGGGTTTTGGGGGGAGTGGAGCGGATGGAGGGCGTGGGGAGCGTTGTGGCGTTGGCAGATGCGTGGGGTGGTGGAGCTGACACTGCAACTGCCAGCAACACAGATGTGAATCGGGTGAGAGGTGGTGCAGGTAAGAGGTGTGAGAGCATCATTCTCCTTGTGTCCTACATTTATCCCACAAACTTGGGTAGAGAAAGGCACCCAAGCTTAGTTTCAGCCCACAGCTAAGGTAGGGTTATCCCTAGTTGGGGGTTTGGGAACTCAGCGTGGATGGTTGAGAGGCCAGAGAGAGTTCTTAAGCAGGCATCTCATCTCCTTTCCATAACATGCGTCTTCTTGATGTGCTCGCGAAGCTAGGCTGGAGTGGCGATGCTGAAACCTGTGCTGTGTGTGCCTCCCTCTCCTCTCCTCTATTCCCCCTCCTCAGGCGCTGCAGGTGATGCAGGAGGCCCTTGCCCCCATGTTGGGCAGCAAACCCCTGCCCACCCCAGCTGCGCGCATCCACCTCGCAGATGCCCTCCTCGCACTCATCCTTCTCAGCGACTCTGTAAGTGTCTCCACCTCCCATGTCCTCTCTGCTGTCGCAATGCCACTCTGGCGTCCACCTCGCAGATGCCCTCCTCGCACTCATCCTTCTCAGCCCTCTGTGGATGTCTGCTCTTCGCAGCTCTTGGCAGATGCCCTCTGTGGATGTCTGCTCCACTCCACTGCCATTCCATGTGTCTCAAACCTCCTCCCTCCCATTCAAGTTGCGGAAAACGCCAGGACCGTCCTGCGTCTAGCGTCTAGACGCTAGAGGCAGGACGCACCCGTAGACGCTAGACACAAGGGGGAAAAGTTTTGGGGCAGGCCGGAAAAAAAAAAAATGGGGGGAAAAACATCAAGACCTAAGAAGAAATTGCCTCAAATGTTAGCTACGTCCGTATCCCCCCCTCCCCATGCCTCACAGAAGGCTTTTTTCTACATCTCACGCACTCTCCCTTTTTCATCTCTTCCCATTTCCACCATCCATGCACACACCTGCACCGCTCAGGACCTGTTTACTACGCCGCTCCTTGCGCTGCTGCACGACCGGGACTACGGGGTGCGCCTGCACATGGCCCACCTGCTGCCCGCGCTCTTCCTCAAGTGGGAGGACCACCCCGCCTTGCTCACCGACACGCTGTGAGTCCGCCTGTGCTGTGGGTGCCTCCCAGTGTGCAATTTAGCACTTTGGCCCGGCCTCTTTCTGCCTGCTCCCCCCATACACCTGCTGCCTGCACTCTTCCTCAAGTGGGAGGGCCACCCCGCCTTGCTCATTGACACTCTGTGAGTCCGTTTGTCAGAATTTTCACCTGAGATGTAATCCCGACTAGATTCCGCTGCTCGCTGAGAATTATGTGAGAATATCGACCTGCTCTACTTCAAATGGGATGGGAGGGCCACCACGCCATGCTCGCTGACACGCTGTGAGTCCGTCTGCTCTTACCTCTACCGCATGGGAATCCGACAATTTGGCACTCCGCGTACACTCCACATTCTGTAAAACTCTCAACACTCAACTGTCACCTTCCACTGCCTACCTTGTATTGTGCGCGGGCAAGTGAGTGAGCAACTGAAAGGTTGGTTGGCACAGCCGTATTGTGAGTGCGGCCGTTGCCATTGAGTTGGGAGGATGCCACGGTGCCATCCGTGGCAAGAGCACAGCTGAGTCAAGCCGGTTCAGGTCAAGCCGGGACAAGCCCGCCCCTTTTTCAAGTCGATCCTGCTCGGTTCGGGAGTGAGGGCCATCCAAACCTCGAGGTCAGGTGGCAGGAAATCCATCCAAACCTCGAGGTCAGATGGCAGGAAATCCATCCAAACCTCGAGGTCAGGTGGCAGGAAATCCATCCAAACCTCGAGGTCAGGTGGCAGGAAATCCATCCAAACCTCGAGGTCAGGTGGCAGGAAATCCATCCAAACCTCGTATGAATGCAAGCAAGGTATGTATCATGCAGCATGCAGCCCACCCCATTTTCTCCCTCCAACGCAAAACGGTTTGCAGGAAATACTTGAAGACGCTTTGTCACGCGCCCGCACCCACCCTTTCCACCTCCATGCTCCACTCTACATGCTGCTTTTTTATCGCTCTCAACTCAATTATCACGTTCTCTCCCCCAACATGTGACAGGAAGGACTTGAAGACGTTGTCGCTCGCTCCCGCACCCACCCTCTCCATCTCCACGCTCCACCTGCCCTCCGCCACCGCCACCTCCACCAGCAGCAGCACTCCTACCTCCACCCCCTCTTCCAGCCCTGCCACCCGCCGTAACTTGCCTCTGCTGGCAGGTCCTGCAGGGAAGGGCGCTCTCTTGGGACTCATGCGCAGCGGGGGAGGAGGTGGGGGAAGAGATGAGGGAAAGGGAGGCAGTGGAGGAGAGGGAGGGGAAGAGGGAGGAGCAGGAGGGAGTGGGGAGACAGATGAGGAGAGAGTGAGGAGGGAGGTGGAGCGAGTGGACAGGGCGAGGGTGGAGACGGGTGTCTTACTGCTGGGGAGGATAGCCGAGAGCAGCGACCTGGTGGAGGACGAGGTGAGCTACATGCCGCCCTTGTTCTCCCTGTCTGTACATTCCAGAGCTTCCTTTCATGCAGTGCCATACCGTACCGTACCATGACCATGGTGGTGGGAGGAGAGCAGGGAGCAGCGACCTGGTAGAGGACGAGGTGAGCTGCAAGGCGATTTTCCCTGTAACCCTTATTCTCTGGATACTCACAGCTTCCCTACGTGGCATCTGAAAAATGCACTGATCTGACTGATGAGTTGCGTTTTGTCTCTTCTCTACTGTGGTTGTCACTAGGCTGTCCTGCGTTCATCTGGCAGGCATGGTGTTCTGACTATAATCTTTGCCTTGTTTGCCTCTGCTGCATGCTGGTCGTGCTCTGCCTGCCCCTCTCCTCTCATCCAGGTCGTATTCCTCATCGCCGCAGCTGCTGCTCTCCGCCTTGTGCGCACGTAAGTTGTTTGCTTGGTCTATATCACAGGGAAGCATGTTTGCAGCCTTGTGAATCAAATGCAGATCGGACGAGACGCCATGCATCCTTGTTGACTGCTGCACATCCTCCCTTCATGTTTCTCTAAACTGCACCTCCCCTCATTCTCATCGCATTAGCCCCTCTTTCTCTCCTCTTTCACCCTTCCTTGCTCTCCTCTTTCTTCTGTGTTTTCCTGTTTTTCTCCTTGCATCTCGAACCTCTCTTCCCAATCCAACCGTCCTGTGCAGCAATTTGGCTGCTGCAGTCCTCACCACAGCTGCAGCATCGCTGGGCTACCCCAGTCTCAGCCAGGTCTGTCCGCCCCAGTCTTGGTGCCATTCCAGCCAGCCACTTTCCGAGCCATGTGTGTATTAGATGATTCTCAGTGACACCTAAAGTCTTGCAGCACTGTGTGGCGCTCACGGCCGCTTGTACGACCCTCCATCGCTTCCCTCCTTCGCTTCTTCTTTTCCTCCCCTGCTCACCCCTATCCTATCCAGTACCTGGACATTCTCCTGCCCTCTGTGGCCACACGGTGGGTGGCAGCAGACCCCGTGCTGCTGCCGCTGCCTGCTCTCGCACAGGTGAGCTCAATTGCTGCCACTGCCCTGCGCAACCCCATTCGTGCCACTCCTCACACCCCCCCCCTTCCACACACGCACGTGTTAAAAACGATATGAATCCGTGTCTGTGTGTGTGCGTGCGTGCGTGCGTGCGTGCGTGCGTGCGTGCGTGCGTGCGTGCGTGCGTGTGTGCGTGCATGTGTGCGTGTGTGTGTGCGTGTGTGTGCGTGTGCGTGTGTGTGTGCGTGTGTGTGTGCGTGTGTGTGTGCGTGTGTGCGTGCGTGTGTGCGTGCGTGCGTGCGTGCGTGCGTGCGTGCGTGCGTGCGTGTGTGCGTGCATGTGTGCGTGTGTGTGTGCGTGTGTGTGTGCGTGTGCGTGTGCGTGTGTGTGTGCGTGTGTGTGTGCGTGTGTGTGTGCGTGTGTGTGTGCGTGTGTGTGTGCGTGTGTGCGTGCGTGCGTGCGTGTGTGTGGTCACCACCGCGGGCGGGTGCACCGTGCAGGTGGTGGTGGCGTTGGAGCAAGCAGGGGGGGGTAGGGGGATGGGTAGCGCAGGCTGTTGGACAGCTGGTGGCGGAGGGAGGCAGATGCTAGAGGAGAAGGGCGACCATGAAGCGGGAGGAGACACTGCATGGGTGGTAGCAGCAGGAGTGGGGGGTGCAGGAGCACTTGCAAGGGCGTGGAAGAGGCTGGCTCCGCTGTTGCTGCCTGCGCTGCTGCTGCTGGGGAGGAAGAGTGACGTGCAATTCCTGGCCGAGGTGAGTGAGAGGCCGAGTCTCACAGCGGTGGGCATGCCGGAAGTTGGGTAGTGGTGTGAGCGATGGGAGGAATCCAGAAGGATCACCTGAAGAGTACCAATGCATTATTCAACTAGCTTCGTTTCTTCCACCGTTTTCCCACTCCTTTGTCAGTGCACCTGTCCCCTTCATTCATTTCTTGCCTCTTCGAAATTTATCATACCTCTCCGGATTCCCCCCCACTGCCCCAACTCACCGCTCCTTCCTTCCTTCCACTCACCAGCCAGGCTCTCCAGGCGCCTTCCCATCGGGCCTCGGATCCTCAGGGCAACTTTCCCCCATGTGCTGCTCCCCCCCCACCCGCCCTCCCCCCTCGCTCATGCCACTCACCAGGCCCTCCAGGCGCCCGTCCCTCGGCTCCTCAAGGAGTCATTCCCACATGTGGTTGCTGCGCTGCTGCCATTCCGCCAGTCAGAGCTTGACACGTGGCAGAAGGAGGCTGCAACACGTGTGCTCACGACAGGCCTGCTGGCCACGGCGGGGTGGAGTGAAGCAGAGAGGGATCAGCTTCTGACCAAGCACATGGTCAGTCTGTTTCCACCCGTCGTTTTGAGTCGGCTCAGAGGTCACTCTGTCGTGAACCCTAAATACAAAACCCTTGTCCTTGTTTTGCTACGGCTGGAATTCGATTGTGTGCCTGCGACTGACGAGCCTTCTCTGGTCATGCTTCGAGATCCCAACTGAGTGCCAGTTGTGCAGTCGATTGTGCTGCCGCATTACAGCAATGCTTCAGAATTGAAGCAATTTCTGAAGCGCCTCAAAGAGAAGTCTTTGAATGTCCTCATTTGCTGTTACTTGCGCTGCCCTTCTCAGGTGGCCATCATCAGCAGCAGTCTCGTTTTGAGATGTGTCAAAATTCAGTCTATGAGGCCCCTCATCTCAATAGCAGCACCCTGCTGCGCCACACACATCCTCCCAGCGGCACCCATTGAGGCCTTCAATAAAAAAAAAGAGTAACTCGAATTCCCCATCGGCCCCCACCTGCATCCCCTTCCCCAGGTGCCCATCATCACCAGTCTGCTGCAGCACACGTCCTCCCAGCAGCACCCATCGTTGCCGTCCTTCCCCACCGCGTGCATCCGTGCCACCATCTGCACCCTGGTGGACAGCACTGCTGACTCGCGTGCCAGCAGCAACAGGTACATAGAGGCAGTCACAGCAACCACGATTGAATAAATGGAGTTGCCTTGTAGGAGTGCAAAGAAGGGGCGATATGACGCGCAGCTGCATTGCGCAAGCATGTTTCATCCACCACAGTGCCTGCAGTTGCATCATCCTTTCTTCTTGTGTCATGCACACTGTGTGTACCGCTCTCTGTGTGTTATGTGTGCCTGCCATGCATCCCTCGCCTGCATGCAGCATCAGTACGAGCGCACTGCCCTCCGCGCCTCCCCTCGTCTCCGACCACCTCAACATTTTGCGCCCGGCCAATGTCTTTCCAGTGAGTCGGCAGTTTCTCATCCTTATCGCCTCTACACTTCCACCTGCGCACGCACATAAACATCCTCTTTCCTCGCCTTCATTGTCGTTCCTCTCGCTTCCCTCCCCTCTCACTCACCCTTTCTCACCTCTCCTGTTTCCCTTATCATCCTGCCCTACTGACCTAGTAATATCCCCCTTGTCTCCCCTATCTCTTCCTTGTCTCTTTACCAGTTGCTCCTCGCCCTGCACAAGGCAGCTGTAGCAGCCTGCAGTCCACGTCATCGCTGCCACATCATCGCTGCGCTGTCAGTGCTGGTTGACATCCTGGGGAACAGAGTCACAGTGCCGCCCACTTTCAGGTGAGCCACTGTCGCTCAGGTGATTTTCTGTGCCGTAGTCACATGATCCCCTTAAAATTGTTCACAGAGCTAGCCCTCCGTCCTTCCAGCCACATGCCTACCCCCTATGTATGAACCTTCTTCCCTCCCTCCCCCCACAATGTGACGTCCCTTCCCCCACAATGTGACGTCCCTCCCCCCACAATGTGACGTCCCTCCCCCCACAATGTGACGTCCCTCCCCCCACAATGTGACGTCCCTCCCCCCACAATGTGACGTCCCTCCCCCCACAATGTGACGTCCCTTCCCCCACAATGTGACGTCCCTCCCCCCACAATGTGACGTCCCTCCCCCCACAATGTGACGTCCCTCCCCCCACAATGTGACGTCCCTTCCCCCACAATGTGACGTCCCTCCCCCCACAATGTGACGTCCCTCCCCCCACAATGTGACGTCCCTTCCCCCACAATGTGACGTCCCTTCTCCCACACTGTGACGTCCCTCCCCCCACAATGTGACGTCCCTCCCCCCACAATGTGACGTCCCTCCCCCCACAATGTGACGTCCCTCCCCCCACAATGTGACGTCCCTCCCCCCACAATGTGACGTCCCTCCCCCCACAATGTGACGTCCCTCCCCCCACAATGTGACGTCCCTCCCCCCACAATGTGACGTCCCTTCCCCCACAATGTGACGTCCCTTCCCCCACACTGTGACGTCCCCCCCCCAGGTACCTGGTGCACATTCTGCTCGCCTGCCTGCCCACCTCGGCACCCACCTGGCCTCCACCCGCCCCACCGCTCGCCTCCTCCCAGCTCTCGCTCTCTCAGAGCCCCTCCTGCCCCTTGCCCTCGCCCTCGACACCAGCAGCGGTGGCGGCAGTTTGTCTAGACGTGCTGGCGCGGGTGGTGGCTGCAGCACAGAGCAACGGTGCCAGGGAGGGTGGTCACAGTGGAATGGCGTCTGCTGCTGTGTTGGACCAAAGCCAGGTGAGACACTTTCTGAGTCACTAAGAAAGCGTGCTCGCGCAGATGGTTGCTGCAGTCCAAAACGGAAGTGGCAAAGGGGATGGCAGCAGTGGAACGACAATGCCTACTGCTGTGTTGGACCAGAGGCAGGTTGGTGACTTGGTGCAAGCAGGTCCATTGGTGCGTGTAAAGCCTTGCTCTGCTGGTCTACTTTTCATTTCCCTGCTTCTCCTGTTTCCTTGCTACAAATGCTGCTGCGTCTTGTGTGTTTCATGCGCCCTTTTTACCCCCCACGTCTTCCCTTCTCCCCGCAGATTCCGCCATCCCCTGCCACTCTTTCCGCTCCGCCCCTCCCCCTCTTGCTGCAGGCCATAGTGTCTCGCCTACTGGCCCTCTGCACTCCCCCAGCTGCAGAAGCAGCAGTGGGAGCGGCGGCGGCAGGGGCAGGAGGGGGGACAATAGGAGTGGCAGAAGGGGGAGCAGCAGCAGGGGCAGCAAGGCAGGAGGGGGAGCTTCCAGAGGCGCTGGTGGAGCTGCTGAGAGCGTTCACAGTGGATGCCCCTGCAGCAGTGAGGGCTCGCCTGCAGGTGGGGCATCACATGCATCACATGCACCACATCACATCCACCACATGCATCACATGCACCACATGCATCACATGCACCACACCACATGCATCACATGCATCACATGCATCACATACACCACATGCATCACATGCACCACACCACATGCATCACATGCATCACATGCATCACATGCATCACATGCATCACATGCACCACACCACATGCATCACATGCATCACATGCATCACATGCACCACATGCATCACATGCACCACACCACATGCATCACATGCATCACATGCACCACACCACATGCATCACATGCATCACATGCACCACATCACATGCATCACATGCACCACACCACATGCATCACATGCATCACATGCATCACATGCACCACATGCATCACATGCACCACACCACATGCATCACATGCATCACATGCACCACACCACATGCATCACATGCATCACATGCACCACATCACATGCACCACATGCACCACATGCGTCACACATGCATCAAATGCATCACATGCACTACATGCACCACACCACATGCATCACATGCATCACATGCACCACATCACATGCATCACATGCACCACACCACATGCATCACATGCATCACATGCACCACATGCACCACATGCGTCACACATGCATCAAATGCATCACATGCACTACATGCACTACATGCACCACACCACATGCATCACATGCACCACATGCACTACATGCACCACATCACATGCTGCGCTCCTTTGTTCATACAGGAAGGTTGCCTGCGCATGCACAGACCATGCCTTGCTTGCCTTACATACACCTGTCCTGCATTCACGCAACAAGCTGAATGAACCCTTAATTTATATACGTTGCCCTACCAAGGAACCCTCCGGTCGTGGGGAGAGTGGGATTATTTTTTAGTCGACTCAAAAACCAAACCTCTGTGAGTGGGGTTATTGCAGCATCTAGCCAGCTATTGTTCCTGGCGTGATGCGATGCTTTTTCCTACTACCCCAAACAATGCTGTAGTGTGTCTCTCTCCATATTCCTCCATTCCTGACACACCGCTCCCCTCTGCAGTTGCTGCACATGCCAGCAGCAGCAGTGGCAGCGCACCCGTCTTTGGCTTGCACGCATTGCAGCAACTAGCTAGCTATCATTGTTGTTTTGATTTGACGTTCGTTTTTTTACTAGTCCAACCAAACCTAGTATCTTCTACCTCTCTCCTGGTCCCTCCATTCCTGACTCACTGCTCTCCTCTGCAGCTGTTCCACATGCCAGCAGCAGCAGTGGCAGCATACCCCTCTCTGGCACCCATCGCGGACTCTCTCTCCTCACTCTCCCACGACTTGCCCCTTCCACAACAGCTTGCACAGGTGTGCTGCTTTTCGATGCAACTGATATGCTCAGCTTGGCTGGTCTGATCTACCACAGGCACAGGAGGGTCAGAATTCAGATGTCATTAACGACGATATGCACTCATAGGGTCTACTTGTAATTGTGAGTTCTGCTTCTGCGTGTGCTTTCTTCTGTCCGCGGACCTCGTTCCTTCCTCACTGCCAACTCTGTCGCCTATGCTGCCCACTGCCCACACCTCACTCTAGGGCTCTTTCTTTCCTCCTCCCCCTCCCCCCCCCCACTCCCTCCCTCCCTCCCTCCCTCCCTCCCTCCTTTTCTCCCCCCTACCCGCCTTCCACCGTCTTGCAGCTTGCATCTCAGGCCATCCACCTCTCGCCAGCTGTTCTCGCACAGAGGTGTGCAGATCAAATCTTGTGTGTTGTTTTAGACTGGGGTATGAGGGTAAAATTTCTGTTGTGAGGATTGATTGCTCATCTGGCCGGTGCAGTGCACACGTGTCTGTTCAACGACTTCTCTATCATGTCTTACTTGCTACCACTGAGCCTGTAACATACCGTTCCTGTTTCTCCATCATACCATATTCAGTGCACATGCTGTATACGCTGCAACTTTGACATCTCCCAAAAGTGCATTGCATTTCCCCCAGCAGTATCAACCAACCAACAATCTTCCATGACTATCTCTGCCTTCCCACTGCCCATATCTCCCCTCCCATCTCCTCCCCCCACCTGCCCTCTCAGTCTGGAAGCTCTCTGCAACCACCTCGCCTCCACCAAGCACCTCCTTTGGTGCGATGAAACTGCCCGTGCAGCCAAAGGCATGGAGGGAGCAGCAGGCAACAGCAGTCGTGAGCTGGACGCAGGGGGGCCTGGGGATGGACTGCCACGCCCCTCTGCTCAGGCCCTTACTGCCACGTGGCAGATGCTGCAGGTGTCACAACGGCTGAGCGAATCAGACCCCTGTACGAGCACCATCCGGGCATGCCTTGGCAGGCTTCTGGCTGCTGTGAGTGACTAGCCTTGCTCGTCCGTAGATGTGCTAGTTCATGTCAGCATGCTAATATCCCTGCATTCTAGCTCCTTTCCCTGCATACCTTACTACCTTACATCCTTGTGCTGTGTCATCGTGTCTTGCTGGCAGCTGGGGATATGGGATGCTTCCGCCGTTTCCTTCAAGCCTCCAGCCACAGCAACTTCAACAGCAGCACCAACAGCAGCGTCAGCACCCACGGGTGGTGTGACAGTAGTGAATGCGGATCCAGCAGGAGAGGGCGTTCACAAGGGGGTGATTGTATCGGTGCTTAAGCTGCTGGCCACCCTCCTTGTTGATCCAGATGTCCATGCCATTCAGCTCGCCGCACAAACCATCGAGGTCCGTCTGGTGCTTGCTCTGCTCCTGCCTTGCTCCTGCCTGCTTAAGCTGTTGAGTCAAGATCCGTCGCTCTTCCCTGTTGCATCAGCGCTGCGACTGCACCGCGTCACAGTGCATTGAAAAGCCTGTTGGATCGCTCTCGACAGTAACTTCACAGCTTGTCCTTTCGGTTTCAGGGGCCTCACAGAGCACTCGCTTCCATCCATCTATTCCCTTGTCCACCACATGCCCCTGCGCTGTGCTGCCCGCTTCCACGGCAGGCCATTCTCATGACAGAGAGGGGCCATCGGGTCTTTACTGCAACAGGCTTTGAGGAGAAGCAGTACCTCGAGGTGGGCTGAGCTGAGCCGCGGATGATCTAAAAGTTGTGCATGGTGATGGTGCTGCTATGGACGGACCTGAACTCCAATGTTGTACGTTGTCTTGCATGAGTTGCTGTTTGTGACTTGGACGGCCCGCTGCCATCCTGTGCTGCTTTGGTCAGAGCCACCTGTATGTATCGTGCCACGCGCACCAATCCCTCTGGCACCATCGTTTATTGCTTGCCCTGCTGTCTTTTTCTCCAGGCGCACATAAAGACGGTCAACACCGCCCATGCACAGCAGATTATCCAGCACCTAAGAGCCGATGCAGGAGGTGCGTGTCTGGAGCTGCTGGCAATTGAGCCGTGCTCATCGCCTCCCGCTTCTGCCTCCCTCTCACTCACTCACTCGCTCACATTTTCCGAACAGTCTTTTCTCTTTTCAAACACCTTCCTTGCTCTGTCTCTCTGTCTCTCTGTCCCTCGCTCTCTCTCTCCAGCCTCCATGCCTCCACTGGACGACCCCGCAGTGTGGCAGGCAGTGGGTGCATCTCACGAAGTGTGGGTGTGCCGCGTGGTGCATTTGCTCATTCTGCACGCGCCAGACGACATTCTCACGTGAGTGACGAATTTGAATGGTTTGGGGTGCTGGGTGGCACTAGTATTGTGGCTGGCAGAGTTGGTTGGCTTGTGAGAACCCTACAAATCCTGCCAGGCAGCATTCCATTACCATCAACGAGGAACAGTGAGAATTCTAGCATTCGTCTCTCCCCTCCATCACCGGAATCTTGAAACCTGTGCCAGTTCTGTAGAGTGCATGCCTGACTCTGCCCTCCCTATCTGCATTATGCGCTCTTCGTCCCTCCCCAGTTTGCATCAAGCACTCACTCACCAACATGCAAGTCTCCTTCCCTTCTTCACTCCCTTTCTCTGCGAGCCACCCTGTCCAATGCTCCCCTCCTCCCACCCCGCCCCCCACTTCCCCCAGTCTGTGTGCGCCGCTGTGCAGTGTGAACGCCTCACTCGCTGCACTGCTCCTCCCCCACACACTCGCCACCCTCGCTGCCTCACATGCACCCACCAGTCTCCTCTGCCGCACTATCTCAACCCAGGTGGGTCGCCCTCTCCTCTGCTAAAATAAGTCAACCCATCTCCTCCGCCGCTCTCGTGCCCTTTCTCTCTCTACTATCTCCCCCCTTCCTGCCCATCCGCTTCTACTGCATATTCTGCTCAACCTCAATGTCCCCCGTCCCCCTCTCAACCCCTCCTTTCTGCCTCTCCTCTCACACCACCCTGCCCACCCACGTGCTGCATCCAGCGCGGGGGTATCTCCCCTGCAGCTCCTATTGGACGCGCTAACAGCCCTCAGATCAGAGCCTGCCTGCCACACCCTTTAGGAATCGTCAGAACCACACTCTCTCTCCCACCACCCCCTTCCCCCACCCCCACCCCTCCTGCAGCTCACCACACACGTGCTGCATCCACCTCGCACGCTGCAACTCCTCTTAGACGCGCTCACCGCCCTCAGAGCCTGCCAACTTTTAGTTATTATCAAAGCACTCCTCTCTCCCCCCAACCCCCTCCCTCCTTGCAGCTCACCACTCACGTGCTGCAGCCAGCGCGTGCGGTGTCTCCGCGCACGCTGCAGCTCCTCTTAGACGCGCTCACCGCCCTCAGAGCCTGCCACACCCGCGCTCGCATGGCCCCTCCCCCCACTGCTGCTGCTGCTGCCCGTGCTGCTGCCTCTGCAATGGGTGCTCGAAAGAGTGCTGCCAAGGTGCTTCTACTTCTCCTCACCCCACTTTCTGGTACCTGGTGTTGTTGCTGTCATGCTCAGTTCCCCTTGTTTTCCTCTTCGCCTTCTTCCTTCCACAACACGCATTATTCTTTCAAACAGCGGTTTCCCTTACTCCACTGCAATGCTCCTCACCTCTTGCTGCTCCCTTCTCATCCGTCTGTCTGTCCCACGTCTCCTCCTCACTTTCTTTCCTCCATCCAGGCAACATCAGCAGCAGCTCCCTCCACTACCACAGAGGCCTCTACACGCACAGCAGCAGGCGTGGGTGGCAGCAGCAGCAAGGGCAAACGAGGGGGCAGACGGGGGACCAAGAAGAGTGGTGCAGGGGAGCAGGAGGGGCCACCAGTTGGGGCAGCAGCAGAAGAAGCAGGTGCAGCTCAACTGAGGGCAGAGGAGAAAGGGGCTGAAGTGGATGAGGACGAGCCAGAGGCTCCTCAGCACTGGCAGTCTGTGAGCCTCCTTGCCTCCTTACCTCTTTGCCTCCTTGCCTCCTTGCCTCCTTGCCTCCTTACCTCTTTGCCTCCTTGCCTCCTTGCCTCCTTGCCTCCTTACCTCTTTGCCTCCTTGCCTCCTTGCCTCCTTGTCTCTTTGCCTCTTTACCTCCTTGCCTCTTTGCCTCTTTACCTCCTTGCCTCTTTGCCTCTTTACCTCCTTGTCTCTTTGCCTCTTTACCTCCTTGCCTCTTTGCCTCTTTACCTCCTTGCCTCTTTGCCTCTTTACCTCCTTGCCTCCTTGTCTCTTTGCCTCTTTACCTCCTTGTCTCTTTGCCTCTTCGCATTTTTGCCTCTTTGGCTCTTGTCATTTTTGCATCTCTGCCTCTTTGCGTTCTTGCCTCCTTGCATCCTTGCCTCCTTGCCCCTTTGTCTACTTGTCTCTTTGCCTCTTTGCCCCTTTTCCTCCCTGCCTCCTTCCTTCTTGTCTCTTTGCCTCCATGCCTACTTTGCCTCCATGCCTCCTTGTCTCCTTGCTTCCTTCACTCCTTGCCTCCGTGCCTCCTTCCCTGCTTCTGCCTTTTCCTCCATGCCTCCTTGGCAGCACGCGACCATCTCGTCTGCTTGGTTCTTGCCCACTGCCACACCCACCCATGCCCTCTCATCCATTCCACTCCACCCTCCTTCTGTGCCGCCCCAAATGTGTCTCCCATATTTTCTACGTCCCCCCTCGTGTACATGTGTGTTTGTGTGTGCATGTGTATGTGCATGACTGCCTTCCCTCCCTCTGCTCCGTCTCAGCCTGTCTGGTTGCAACTGGACTTGCTTACCCTGGCACAGGCTGCACAGGTAACACCTCCCCCACATGCACCTTCACCTGAGGGGCATAGAGAAGTAACGTAGAACAAAGGGAGACTGCTTGTGTGTTGCCTAGTCATGTACCTGACTTGGATGGATTGGCCAGCAGAATAAGTGCAGACGCAGCATTGCATCATCTCATCTAATGCACCGTGTGAGCGCTGTAGCACTGTGCACCGTGTGTGTTGATGCGCGCGTGCTTCCTTCCGCTGTGCAGCACTGTGGTGCAACACTCACGGCCATTCTCTATGCCGAGCTCTGGTGTGAGGCACACTTTGGACGGCCCACTCTCGGCGAACCAAGCTTCGATGAAGACTCCGACGCGGTAACCACAGGCACACACCTGATGGTCACTGGAACCCCGCGTCTTCTTAATACACAGTTGAAACAGCCATGCTTCTTTGCTCTGGATCTTTGGAGTTTCAATCTTGCCTCGACACCTGTTGTGTTGTGCTCTTTCCCCCACCTTTCCCTCCCCTTACCCTCAATGCGCACTTCCTGCCAATGGCGACTCTCTCCTCTCCCACATCACCTTCTAAGATCCTCCCTCTTCTGCTCTGCTGCCAGGTGGAGCCCCACGAGGCGCTGCTGATGGGGTGCTACAGTGCCGTGAACGAGCCCGATGCCATCTACGCTGTCGCCCGCACCAACAAGGTGCGCGTGGAATGTGAGGCGTGGCTTCTGTTTTTGAGGCGACACAATAGTCGCCTTGCTACAGCGCTGTGAACGAGCTTGATGCCATGTATGCCGTCGCTCGCACCAACAAGGTGCGCACGCAACAGAGAGAGGGAAGGGGGGAGGGGAGGGGGGGGGGGGGGGGGGGGGGGGGGGGGACTGCAATGCACTCAGCTCAAATATCGCTGCATAGCATCTGTACCACACTACTCACGCATGACAATGCCCCGCACTGCCCTTAGTGTGTCGGGACGGGCTGGTCTGACTTTCCGCCCTCTTTCTCCCTGCGTGCCCATGCATGCATGCATGCATGCAGCTTCCGTCCCGTCTGGCCATCAACCGCCACGAGGGGCGATGGGAGAAGGTTCTAGAGACGCTGGACCATGCCATGTCCCACCGCCCTGCACCTGCTGGTGCTGCTCTTTCCTCTGGTGCTACTCCTGCAGTGCCCTCGTTACAGTCACAGTCACAGTGGCAGGGGCAGTGGGCGCAGCAGGGAGTGGTGGCAGCACTGCAGCACATGGCATGCTCCCACGTGTTGCAAGCGTACTGCCGCGGTGCCGTCTCAGCATCTTCTGCTGCTGTTGCCACTGATGCTGCCGCTGGGGGTGCTGGTGCTGTTGCCGGTGCTGCTGTGGGCACAGCAGGTGCTGCTGGAGGGGCGGTGCATGGAGCTCTTGGTGGGACAGAAAGAACGGATTTTCTCGAGCTTCAGGTTTGATTTCGTGTCCAAGTTCCCTTTTGTTACCAATGTCATCCACAACATGCCCACCTCTTGCACCGCCCTGCATGTCCCTTCTCCCGCACTCACGCACGTGGTATCATATGGTCAATGAGAAATATTACATGTCTGTGAAGTGCACGTTCACGCTTTCATGTGCCTCTTTCGCCCAGAATTTCTTCTTGGCTTGGCAGCAACGACGCTACAGTCTTATCTCAACTCAGCCCGGTCTCTTTGTTCACACCCACACACAATCTCTCTCTCCTGTCTTATCCCTGCTGTTGTTCCGCACCCCTCATCTCATCCCTCTCATCTGCAGTACGAAGCTGCCTGGAAGATGGGCAAGTGGGACCTGCCAGCAGCTCAGCTCCCGGACTCGTCCAACTCGTCACCCTACCCGCCCTCCACCTTGCTCATACGCACAGCCCCACCTGACAGCAGCAGCACTGCGTCCACCATGCCTGGTGCTGCTTCTGGCTTCCACGCCGCTCTCTACAGGTGTGTTGCAGCCTCCTTTAGAGAGCGGCACCCCCTTTGTCACGCTCACAGCCCCACCAGACAGCATCAGCACCACCACGTCTGCCATGGCCATGCCTGGCGGAGCTGCTGCTGGCTTCCACGCTGCGCTCTACAGGTGCGCTGCAGCAGCCCTTTCTTCCGCCTGTGTTCCTGTGCCGCCCGTGTCCGCTGCAGCTTGCTGGTTTCGAGCGTAAGCACTACAGGTGCGCTGCAGCAGTGAACATCCCATCCCCATCGCTCCCCATCGTTTCCTCCTCCATGCTTCCACTTGCTCCCCTTTCTCCTCGTCCACCCATCCATCGCTCTCTCCCGGCAGTGCTCTCAAGGCTCTTCATGATGACGACTGCACTTCCGCTGCCGCCGCTGCGGTTGCTGCTCAGCAGGTGCTGCCAGCCTCGGCTCCTCCCTGTCATGAACACTCTCACTCAACTCAATAAACTTGCTCTTCCAGTACAGCACATGCACGTGCTATCTTGCCCCACTTTCTCAAAATGCACTTACGAGCATTCACGTTCTTCAAAATACCCCATGCTCCATGTCCGTCCATCCAATCCAACCCCCACCCCTCCCTCCACACACAACTGTGCTCTCACACACACCCTTGCGCACTCTTCCCACTGCAGCATTACCCGTTTTTTTTACTTCTCAAGAGTCATTCATCTGCGCATGTCTACCTGCTCTGCACATCAAACATCGTCGCATGCACTCACTCGCTCACACATGTTTTCCTCCACCCAATGTCACCATGTCACAGACTATTGTGTGCCAGCTGGCGTCCACGTCAGCAGAGAGTGCCCTCCACATCAACTCGCGCCTCGTCCTCCTCCAGGTCAGCCAGACTCCCCCATCCACTCATCCACTCGTCCACCCATCCTCTCATCCCCCATTCTCCTCCTCCCTCTCAGCGCCGCCTACCTTCCACCATCATCGTTCCATTCCCTGTTCCTCCCCTCCCCCTCCCCCTCCTCCCTGACTCTTACCTTTTGCTCGTCCCTATCAAAACTTATTTCCCCCAGCTCTTTCGTGTGGCTGTCTAAGTGTCTCACCCGTCCCGTTCTGCCTTCCTGCTCCCACAACGATCCATCTCGGGTGTGAGCAACTAGCAACTTTTTTTTTACGGCCACAGCTGCACACACTCTTTCCCCCACTCATCCCCATCTCCCTGTGTCATTCAGGCCCTGGAGAACGTTCGAGAGGCAGCAGCTCCCACACTCGCCCGTGGAGGGGGCCCGCCCATTCACGCAGGGCAGGCACGGCACACAGAGGTGGGCAAGGCACGGCACACAGAGGTGGGCAAGGCACGGCACACAGAGGTGGGCAAGGCACGGCACACAGAGGTGGGCAAGGCACGGCACACAGAGGTGGGCAAGGCACGGCACACAGAGGTGGGCAAGGCACGGCACACAGAGGTGGGCAAGGCACGGCACACAGAGGTGGGCAAGGCAGGGATGGATGGGGAATGCAGGAGTGGGGAATACGACTGCTGAATCACAACAAAGAAGCTACTGAGATTGGTTTCGATACGATTGAGTCGGGAGTGAGCAAAAGCTGCACAGCAAGGTTGGCCTCATTTGGATGTCTGTATACTACTTTCTTTCTTATGCATAACTCCTTGTGCCTACATGAAACGCTGCTTCCCTTGCCCGAACCCTCTCTACCTACCCTACGCCCACTCGCGCACACACTTGTCAGTTCATTCACATCATATTCTCCCGCCCACATTACCCTAATTCTCCTCCCCCCCCCCCCCCTCTGTTGCAGCTGCACACGTGGCAGCGCCAGCTGGCAGCGTGTGGGAGCAGCTTCGAGTTACAGGAGCCGCTGCTGAGCTGTCGGGGGGCATATCTGCGTGCGAGTGGGCAGCATAACGCCCTGCCGCTGCACCTGCTGGAGGCTGCCAGCCTCTGCCGCAAGGTGGGTTGACTGCCGTGCTGCTCACTGCTGTGCTGCTGACTGCCGTGCTCCTGATTCCACATGCGTTGGATGCTTTCTTCTTCTTCTTCACTTCTCTCCACCTTCCATTCATCGTATGTCACTCTTCCTAATTTCTCTCTGCTGCAACTAACCATTGTGGCACCCTCCCTAATTTCTCTCTCTCTTTCACCCACCCCTCTCCGTTCATCCCATGCCTCTCCATTCATCCCATGCCTCTCCGTTCATCCCATGCCTCTCCGTTCATCCCATGCCTCTCCATTCATCCCATGCCTCTCCGTTCATCCCATGCCTCTCCGTTCATCCCATGCCTCTCCGTTCATCCCATGCCTCTCCGTTCATCCCATGCCTCTCCCTCCCAACCAGGCGCGCCTCCTGAGCCAGGCAGCAGTGCATGTGCAACATCTCAAGGATGCCTGCCGCGCCCTCACAGCATGCAGCCACACACCCACCACTGTGCCGCACCTGCCACCAACAAGCAGCGCTGCCACAGCATCGGCAGAGGAGGGGACGTGGGGAGTGGAGGGGGTGGCATTCTGTGGGCGGGTGGAGGAGGCGAAGCTGCTGGCATTGGAAGGGCAGCAGGACATGGCCGTGCGCCTGCTGCAGCACCTGCTGCGCCCAGACCTGCCACCGCACGCTTCCCAGGGGTCTGCTTCACCTTCTGCCGCCTCTGCTGCTGTTACCACTGCTGCTGTTACCACTGTTGCTGCTTCATGTGTACCAGTGTCTGACCGCGTCTACACGCTCGGCTTGGCGGCCAAGTGGCTTGGGGAGACGCGCTCTATAAGGTTGGGCTGGAGTGGGAGGCTAGAAGCGTGGAAAACGGGATTCATTGCCACTCACAGCTGAGATGAGCATCATAAAGCGGGATTGAATGTTTCCACAATCAAAAGTCGTGTGCATGGATCTTTGAATCTTGATGCTCATGGAGTGAAGTGCACTGTTTGTTCGACAGCTGCCGTTGGCCCAAAATTCAATCCTTAATTCTTCTCTCTCTCTAACGTTCGAAGCTGTTGCATTGGTTTCCCTTAACGTTCTGGGGTTCCCGTCGTTCCTTCTCCCCTCTCGCTTCTGTTATCTCATTCTCCTGTCCGACGCCCACCAGCTCGCGGGTGGTACTGAATGACTACCTGTGGCGCGCAGTGGACCTCACAACCCACCCGCCCACTGCCTCACACTCCGCCTCGCCCTCTGCTGCTGCTGCTGCTGCTGCCACTGCACCCCCAAGCTATGCCTCCCTTCCGTTCGCCAATAACTGGCACCAGCAGAAACAGGAGCGGCAGTGGAAGCAGCAGCAGCAGCAGCAAGGGGGATATGGTGGGCAGCAGGGGGGTGTGAGGGAGCAGGGGGGACAGGGGGGACAGGGGGGGGAGCAAGGCCAGTGGCAGCGGCGGCGGCAGTGGGGAGAGGTGCATTTTCAAATGGCACGCTACGTGGATGGGCTGTTTCTGGTGCTGCATACTCGCCTGCACTCGCAGCAGTGGCGTGCGGCACAGGATCTCACGAACCACAAGGTGCGTTGCGATTGAGAGTGAGGCACAAGGTGGGGCGGTAGAGAGGCATGGCGGCACGGGAAGTGCACACAAGACGCACGGCACGGGAAGTGCACACAAGACGCACGGCACGGGAAGTGCACACAAGACGCACGGCACGGGAAGTGCACTCAAGACGCACGGCACGGGAAGTGCACACAAGACGCACGGCACGGGAAGTGCACACAAGACGCACGGCACGGGAAGTGCACTCAAGACGCACGGCACGGGAAGTGCACACAAGACGCACGGCACGGGAAGTGCACACAAGACGCACGGCACGGGAAGTGCACTCAAGACGCACGGCACGGGAAGTGCACACAAGACGCACAGCACGGGAAGTGCACACAAGACGCACGGCACGGGAAGTGCACTCAAGACGCACGGCACGGGAAGTGCACACAAGACGCACGGCACGGGAAGTGTGGAGTTGGGAACATGCGAGTTGCTCTCACCTATTCATCTGCTCATCTCTGTCGTCCTATGTTCTGCTTGACTGCCCTCCACCCCCTCTCTCTCTGCCTTCCTGGCATGGCATGGCATGGCATGGCAGCGGAAGGAGTTGGAGGAGATGACAAAGCGACTAAAGGCTTCTAGACGAGTGAGTACCGGCTGTGCCCGCGGTGCCCCCCACCTCTCTTCTGAACTGCACCCTGCTCGCTTGTTGTGTCCACGCACATCCACTATCAAGTCAACCCAACAAGCTCCTCTTCCGGACTTGACATGACTCACACTGCCTCACCCCACCGCACGCATGGCACCGCATTGCACCGCACGGCACCCACCTCGTATTAGGAGGACGAGAGGCGGGTGTACGGGATGAAGATGATGGAGCTACAGAAGCAGCTGAGCATGGACGACCAGGAGGCCAACGATCTGCAGGTGCAACCCCCGCACCTTGCCATTCCTCCTCCCTGCCATCCCTCCTGCCTGCCATCCGCTGCTCCATCCACCTACCATCCTTGGTTAGTCCGCAGAAGGCTATAAGCCAAAACTGCTTGTTATCAAAGTTTACACAGGGAAGCACCACACCCTAATATGCTTACCAGTCTCTGCCTTGTGTTCGCTGAAACAGGTCCTGTGGTCTCCTCTACGACTCCCGTCTGTATGCCTTGCTGTGCCGTGCCGTGCCATGTCGTGCTGTGCTGTGCTGTGCTGTGCTGTGCTCTGCTCTGCTCTGTGGTGCGGTGCTGTGCTGTGCGGTGGTGAGTGCAGGGAGAGCATGACATGTACCTACGTGCTGCTCTCGAGAACTACAGGAACTGCCTTCTGGCGGCCGACACGTTCAACATCCAAGGGGTAACTGTTGAAGTGGTAACTGTTGAAGTGGTAACTGTTGAAGTGGTAACTGTTGAAGTGGTAACTGTTCAAGTGGTAACTGTTCAAGTGGTAACTGTTGAAGTGGTAACTGTTGAAGTGGTAACTGTTGAAGTGGTAACTGTTCAAGTGGTAACTGTTGAAGTGGTAACTGTTCAAGTGGTAACTGTTCAAGTGGTAACTGTTCAAGTGGTAACTGTTGAAGTGGTAACTGTTGAAGTGGTAACTGTTGAAGTGGTAACTGTTGAAGTGGTAACTGTTCAAGTGGTAACTGTTCAAGTGGTAACTGTTGAAGTGGTAACTGTTGAAGTGGTAACTGTTGAAGTGGTAACTGTTCAAGTGGTAACTGTTCAAGTGGTAACTGTTGAAGTGGTAACTGTTGAAGTGGTAACTGTTGAAGTGGTAACTGTTGAAGTGGTAACTGTTCAATTGGTAACTGTTGAAGTGGTAACTGTTGAAGTGGTAACTGTTGAAGTGGTAACTGTTGAAGTGGTAACTGTTCAAGTGGTAACTGTTCAAGTGGTAACTGTTCAAGTGGTAACTGTTCAAGTGGTAACTGTTCAAGTGGTAACTGTTGAAGTGGTAACTGTTGAAGTGGTAACTGTTGAAGTGGTAACTGTTCAAGTGGTAACTGTTCAAGTGGTAACTGTTCAAGTGGTAACTGTTCAAGTGGTAACTGTTCAAGTGGTAACTGTTGAAGTGGTAACTGTTGAAGTGGTAACTGTTGAAGTGGTAACTGTTCAAGTGATAACTGTTGAAGTGGTAACTGTTGAAGTGGTAACTGTTGAAGTGGTAACTGTTCAAGTGGTAACTGTTGAAGTGGTAACTGTTGAAGTGGTAACTGTTCAAGTGGTAACTGTTGAAGTGGTAACTGTTGAAGCGGTAACTGTTCAATTGGTAACTGTTGAAGTGGTAACTGTTGAAGTGGTAACTGTTGAAGTGGTAACTGTTCAAGTGGTAACTGTTCAAGTGGTAACTGTTCAAGTGGTAACTGTTGAAGTGGTAACTGTTCAAGTGGTAACTGTTCAAGTGGTAACTGTTCAAGTGGTAACTGTTGAAGTGGTAACTGTTCAAGTGGTAACTGTTCAAGTGGTAACTGTTCAAGTGGTAACTGTTCAAGTGGTAACTGTTGAAGTGGTAACTGTTGAAGTGGTAACTGTTCAAGTGGCAACTGTTGAAGTGGTAACTGTTGAAGTGGTAACTGTTCAAGTGGTAACTGTTGAAGTGGTAACTGTTGAAGTGGTAACTGTTCAAGTGGTAACTGTTGAAGTGGTAACTGTTGAAGTGGTAACTGTTCAAGTGGTAACTGTTCAAGTGGTAACTGTTGAAGTGGTAACTGTTGAAGTGGTAACTGTTGAAGTGGTAACTGTTCAAGTGGTAACTGTTCAAGTGGTAACTGTTGAAGTGGTAACTGTTCAAGTGGTAATTGTTGAAGTGGTAACTGTTGAAGTGGTAACTGTTGAAGTGGTAACTGTTCAAGTGGTAACTGTTGAAGTGGTAACTGTTGAAGTGGTAACTGTTGAAGTGGTAACTGTTCAAGTGGTAACTGTTGAAGTGGTAACTGTTGAAGTGGTAACTGTTGAAGTGGTAACTGTTGAAGTGGTAACTGTTGAAGTGGTAACTGTTCAAGTGGTAACTGTTCAAGTGGTAACTGTTGAAGTGGTAACTGTTGAAGTGGTAACTGTTGAAGTGGTAACTGTTGAAGTGGTAACTGATGAAGTGGTAACTGTTGAAATGGTAAGTGTTGAAGTGGTAACTGTTGAAGTGGTAACTGTTGAAGTGGTAACTGTTGAAGTGGTAACTGTTGAAGTGATAACTGTTGAAGTGGTAACTGATGAAGTGGTAACTGTTGAAATGGTAACGGTCGAAGTGGTAACTGCTGAAGTGGTAACTGCTGAAGTGGTAATTGTTCAAGTGGTAACTGATGAAGTGGTAACTGTTGAAATGGTAACGGTCGAGGTGGTAACTGCTGAAGTGGTAACTGTTGAAGTGGTAATTGTTCAAGTGGTAACTGTTGAAGTGGTAAATGTTGAAGTGGTAAGTGTTCAAGTGGTAACTGTTCAAGTGGTAACTGTTGAAGTGGTAACTGTCGAAGTGGTGACTGTTGAAGTGGTAACTGTTGAAGTGGTAACTGTCGAAGTGGTGACTGTTGAAGTGGTAACTGTTGAAGTGGTAACTGCTGAAGTGGTAACTGTCGAAGTGGTAACTGTTGAAGTGGTAACTTGTGAAGTGGTTGGTAACCATCAAAGTAGCTACTGTTAACGTCTCAGTGGAGGACGTATCAAAGTGATGATGCACATGAGCTGCGAGCAGTAACATTTGGAAGCAATCCGGCTGTGCTGTGCTGCATCAGGGTGGTAACAAGCTGAGAACGTGACAGTAGCTGATTGGTTCGCATGCACCTTTCCACCAATAGCACCTCCCTGTTCCCACCTTGCCTAGCGCTCATTTTTGTTTCCAACCACCACACCCTGCCTCTCCTCCTTTCTTCCTTGCCCACTCGCCCGCACGTCCACAGGTGTTCCGCCTGACAGCGCTCTGGTTCACGCTGCTCAAAAATACCAACGCGGACACAGTGAATGCGGAGATGGTCACAACCATTTTTTAGTCGACTCAAAAGTCAACTTCTTGTCATCCCCCCCCCCCCCCGCGCCTCTATGCCCACAGGTGTTTCGCCTGACAGCGCTCTGGTTCATGCTGCTCAACGATGCCACGGCTGACGCAGTCAATGCGGAGATGCTCACAACCATCCAGACGGTCAGTCATTTCGCTTCTCAGTCACAGATGCATCATTTTTTTGTGGCGAAAATTTTTCTGCGAGCACGTGTATGCGAGTAACCAATGAGACCAAGAATGGCCAACGTCCACCCCCAGCAGGGGCTGAAGAACGTGCAGCAGCACATGCTCCCCTGCTTCTAGCAGCACGTGCTCCCCTGCTTCTAGCAGAGCCCTCCCGCATTCCTCCCACTTGAAGCCACCCACGCCCTCCTTTCCCACTCAATTGCCACCCCCTGCCCTCCCTCGCCCTTCTCCTCTCCAGGTGCCGTCATACAAGTTCCTGCCACTCGTCTACCAGATGGCATCACGCATGAGTGAGCGAGACCCCCACGGCTCACCGCCGCTCCACCCTGAGACACCCGACTTCCAGGTGGGTGGTCCGTTCAGCTCAGCTTTCCAAGGCTATCACACTTGCCTGTTCAAATCTGACCAACTCTACCCCAATTGCCCAATTTGACCACTTCAGCTGTTTGTTCGGTCATGTATGTATGCATGAAAACTCCTCCGCTCTCTGCTATTGCTCTCTGCACTCGCTCTCCGTGTTAGACGTTCACAATGCAGTGCATGTCCTCGCTGAATCAGCATGCTCGACTTGCGTGCATGCTGCTGTAAGAAGCTCTTGCACAATGCAGGTGTTTTGAGACGTGTCAAAACACTTCTTCAAACACATGTATGCATGCTGCTGTAAGAGCCTCATGCACAATGCAGGTGTGCTGTGCAGGCAAATGTGCTATTGCGCACCCTCTGCTTTTGCAATGAGTCTACGGGTTACTTACGCGTCAAGGATTGTTTGTGCTGACGGAAGTTGGCAGAAGATCTTCTTCTTGCTGAAGCTCTCCCCCCGTCCATGTTCCCAACCCAACATCATGCCTTACTTTCTCCCCACCCACAGTCAGTGCTGACAACGCTCGTCAAGCGAATGGCGGACGACCATCCCCTGCACACCGTGCCTGTGGTACGCACTCAGTCACCCCATGTTCGGCCATGCTTAATAAAAAATCACAGCATTCGAAGCCTGGCTCACACCTACCTACACAGCACCGCAGTGCACACACTATGCCCCAAAAACTCCTCCGACTTGTTTCAACACTCCCCTCCCCTCTCCTCTCTCCCCTCCAACCCAACCCCTACCTACCCACCTCCACCCTCCGCCCTCCCCCTTCTCCGCAGCTCATGGCGCTGGCCAATGGCAACAGGGTGCGTAGCAGCCAGCGCGGGCGCAACCTCTTTGTCGTGGATGAGGACAAGATCCGGGCGGCAAAGGCTGTCCTGGGCGGCATGGCTGAGCGGCACAAGCCCATGCTGGATGAGGTAAGACAAGAAAGTAGGCTCACTGCCATATTGTCTGATCCGAGTTGACTTTTGAGTCGACTCGAAAGTCAACTCATCGGGTCTGATACAACTGTAAGCGTGCTGGTATTAGTTCCTCCAAGGACTGTGTGGTGCCTCCAAGGACTGTGTGGTGCCTCCAAGGACTGTGTGGTGCCTCCAAGGACTGTGTGGTGCCTCCAAGGACTGTGTGGTGCCTCCAAGGACTGTGTGGTGCCTCCAAGGACTGTGTGGTGCCTCCAAGGACTGTGTGGTGCCTCCAAGGAATGTGTGGTGCCTCCAAGGAATCTGTGGTGCAGCTGCTTCATGCAGCTACTGGTGAAGAGAAGAGCCAAGCCCACCATTCCTCTTTCAAATTGCTTCTCGCCCATCCTCGCCCTACCTGCCTGTCTGCCAGCCAAACCGCCCCTTCTATCTTCCCCCAGAATTCACCAGCTGATGGATATGTGGATATGGAATGGCGCCCTCATTCGTCCTGTGGTGTGCGCCCACATCTCCCCAATGCGCCATCTTCGCTCAACCCGCTTGCCTGCTAACCAAACCCCCCCTTCCTTTGTATGTCCCCACAGATGCAGCAGCTGATGGATCTGTACATCCGCCTAGCGGAGATGGAGTCCAGCAAGGAGGTGGGTGCGGTGCGGTGGAATGCGGTTATAGAGTGTGAGGAGGTAGATGGTGGTTGTCCATTCCACATGGGATGCTTCGTCCTCATGGTCTCACCTCGCACATGCTTGTTGCTGTCACAGTCACTTGCAGTCTGCTGCACTTCTCTCCTTGCTCCACCGGACCACAGCTTTCCACTTTCCTCTCTGTGTTCTTGTCTGTGAATCTGCAATCCACTTTCTTTCCACCATCCCACTCGCCTCAGGATCTCATGCGTTCAAAGCAGCTACCGAGAAACTTCCGCAGCGTCAGGGACCTCTTGCGGGTGAGCGGTGGCCTGGGAAGCAGAATGCGGGTGGTAGTGCTGGGGTATTCTTCTGAACCACAATTGTCATTCACTATTGAGAACTGTTGTGGAAGCAAGAATGTCCCAGTGGGTACCTTTGGTCTTAGTGGTCGCGGGTTTAACTCTCATCGGCAGCACCTTCTCTTCTCATTATGCCGAACATGACACTCCCACACTCCACCACACTCACCCACAGTGAAGTATGGTCACAGTTGGCATTGCCATCTGTCCACCCATCCCATACTCACCTTGTTGGCTCCTATGGTGTGCCACATGCTGCCATGTAGGCTGTTGTTCCAGCCTGGCCCACATGTGCAACATGTGGCCTCAATTGCTAGCTTGGCAAGGTTGGCTAGCCCTGCCCTCAGCTTTGAGGTGCTGCAGCTAGCCTCAAGAGTTCAGCCACATAAATGTGGCTTCCCACTTCTCTAGAACTCATCCTTGGAAAGGACATTGCTCTAGCCTTTCAGGCTTGTACCATCTTCCTACTAAGGATATATTGTTCTTCTCTCATTGTGCCTCAAGTTCACCGATCCTCATTCTACATGGTATCAGAGCAAGGCTTCTAGCTTAGTGAACGTTGCACACTTCATGGCTCAAGTTGAAACGCCTCTCGGTCAGCACACCCTTCCCATCTTGGAACCAGATGGTTCCAACTTCATTCCATGGAAGAAAAAGATCTGCTACATCTTCAATGTCCTCGGGCTGATCTCCCTCCTTGGAGATCCCAAGGTTGCTTCGCGTCCTTCAATCTCCTCTTCCACAACCAGCGGTGGAGAGACTACCGAAGGCAACAGCGGTGCAGCCCCTAAGACAGCCCATTCGATTGCTTCGCTGCCGGATGAAGAAAAAGAGGAGCATGCATACTATCTTCTCATGTCAGCCGTCCATCCTCAACTATCGCTCACTCTTGCTCAAGCCAACACGACAAAGGACATGTGGGGATGCATCATGGCGCGGTTCGACTGCATGGGCAACCATGCACAAGTGGCTCTCCTCCGGGATCTCATCACTACACGGATGGACCCAACAACAAGTCTTCGCTCCTACTTTGATCGAGTTGGAAACCTTACACACCAACTCAAATCTGCCGGCTTTGAGCTACCATCATGGGTGGTGGTAATCTCCATCATCCTCAACCTTCCGGACTCGTTCAAGACCCTTACTGAAACCATTTGCACCGTGAAAGACATAAAGTCTATGACGGTTGAATACCTACAGTCACGCCTACTCGATGCCGATTGGGAGCGGTCACAATCTGGTACAAGCCGTAACATGGAGGGTGCATACAACCTCAATTCCCAGCCCTCCCACCCTCTTCGCTCTGGTTCACGCCAGTCGCCCACCTGCCGTTACTGCAAGAAAACGGGTCACACCATCGATGAATGCTTCAAATTGAAGAAGAAGAAAGAGCTTGAAGAAAGCTCTAAACGGGAGAAATCCGTCTTCCAACCCTCGGTGCATGTCTCCACCAGCTCCTGTGCTGAAGCTACTCCGACCCCCACACCACCTCCTGCCCCATCAACCCCTCAGTCCGTACCTGATTCCCGGTACGTGGACATTGCTGTCAGCACCAGCCACCACCCCATCTTCTCCACATGGACTCCTCTCGTCGCTGCTGTCTTCATTCTCACCATCCTCCTTCTCCTCCTCCTCTTCCCTTATGGGGCTCCCTACGCATCGGCATTCACGGCCTCCTCATTCAATATGGAGCGGACTTCGTCGTGGCTGGTGGACAGCGGCGCATCCTCCCATATCTGCTCGGATCGTTCGCTGTTTTCGTCTCTCAAGAAGCCCAACGAAGAGATCCTTGTTCGTTTTGGTGGAGGAGAGACTTACAAGGTCTTGGGAGTCGGCACGGTGGTGGCTACTCTTCGGTCACCAACATCGGAAACCACCATTCAGCTTGACAACGTTCTATTTCTCCCTTCATCAGTTCACAACCTGCTCTCTGTTCGTGCGCTTGGTGCTGCCGGCGTTGCCGTCTCGTTCCCCGCTGCTGGGCGCGTTGTTCTCACATCTGATGACGCTCCTATTGGCGAGGGCTACACCCGCAACAATCTGTTTTATCTTCAACTGCATCATGGGAGCAGTGCTGCTCCTTCTATCAAGCCAAGTGCATGTCCAGCCTCCACCACCACCTCCTCATACCTCTGGCATCGTCGTTCCGGGCATCTCAACATGCAGGCCTTGTCAACACTTCATCGGCAGCAGCTGGTCACCGGTCTTCACCTCTCCTCCACCTCGATTTCCCCCTGCATCTCGTGCTATCGTGGGAAACAAACACGTCAGCCATTTGGCGTGTCCCATTCTCGCACCACAGCCCCACTCCAACTCATTCACTCGGATATTGCTGGACCGCTTTCATATGGAACTACCATTGGCGGCGCTCGCTACCTTCTCACCTTCATCGACGACTACTCCCGCCACATTACAGTGTATCTCCTACGCCACCGGTCGGAGGCACTTTCATGCTTCAAGGCTTACGTCACTCGGGTGCACAACATGCATTCCCCACACACCATCAAAGCCTTTCGCTCTGACGGTGCCTTGGAGTTCACTTCCAAAGCCTTCACTTCATTCCTTACAGCTCATGGCATTGCCCGCCACCTCTCCACGCCATACACACCTGAGCAAAATGGAGTAGCTGAGCGGGCCAACCGGACTTTACTTGAGATGGTCCGTTCCATGCTCCATGATGCACACATGGACAAAGGCTGGTGGGGTGAAGCCGCTCTTACTGCTGCCTATCTTCGTAATCATGCCATTAGTCGGGGTGGTTCAACTTCTAAGACTCCCATGGAACTATGGACCGGTGCACGTCCGGATGTATCACACCTCCGCATCTTCGGTTCACCCGTCTCGGTCCTCATTCCTTCCCAACGGCGTTCTAAGCTCGACGACCGAAGCACGGCCGGCATCATGGTTGGATATGGTCATCTCGACGGCACCAAAGCTTACCGCATCTATATCCCATCTCAACACCGTGTCATCCTTTCTCGTGATGTCATCTTCATGGAGCCCTCTGCACCGCCTTCCGACGACTCTCGCGACCCTCCATCGTCATCTCCACCCACATCCTCCTCACTACCTCCTCCTACACACCCTTCTTCCTTGGACCCAATCTCCCCTCCCTCTCCTTCCCCCACCATACCTTCCTCCACCAACCCCCACCCACAATCCCCAAACCTGCCCGCACCAGCCACATCTTCTCCTCCTCCATTGTTTTCCAACCTTCCTCTGCCCTCGACGCCGCAAGACTTTCACCTTCCATCCTTCTCTCCTCCCTCTTCGCCTCCCCCTCCCCATTGCACGACTCGCTCCTCCCCGCCATCCCCTTCAGCTCTTCCCGATCCTTCCCTTTTCTCCTTCCTCAAGGTCTTACCATCCCCTTCCGAACCCATTGACTTCACTCTTCCTCCTCTTTCCAACACCTCTGCCAATGCTGCCCTTCACCATCATTACGAACCTCAAACCATTCATGAGGCTCGTACCGGCCCTGATGCTGCCGAATGGATCAAGGCTGCTGATGCGGAACTCGCTGCCCTGCACGCTAATGACACCTACAGCATTGTTCCTCGACCACCCAAGTGCAAGCCGATTCCATGCAAATGGATTTTCAAGGTCAAGGAGAACGCTGATGGTTCTATTGACGCCGCAAAGCCCGCCTTGTTGTCAAAGGCTTCAAGCAACGTGATGGTGTTGATTTTCATGACACCTTTGCTCCTACCGTCCGCTTCGCCACCCTCCGCTTGTTTCTCACCATAGCTGCCGCCTTCAACCTGGACGTCCATCAGCTGGACATCTCCAACGCCTTCCTCAACGGCACCCTTGATGAGATTCTCTACATGATGCAGCCTCCCGGTTATGACCTTCCGGCGGTCCATGGTGTTGAGCAAGTTTGTCTCTTGCACAAACCTCTGTACGGGTTGAAGCAAGCTCCGCGATGCTGGTACCGCAAGCTTCGTGAGGAGCTTGCTGCCTTTCACCTCTTTGCTGCTCATGCGGACCCCGGCCTCTTCATTGCTCCTCCTCACTCACCTTATCGGCCTACAGCTGCATCCTTCTTCATGCTTCTCGTATATGTTGACGACCTCATCATTCTCTCCTCCTCCTCCTCTCTTCTTGCCTCATTCAAGCATGCCCTTTCATCTCGCTTCAAACTTCGTGACCTCGGACCTCTCTCCTACTACCTTGGCTTTCACATCACTCGTGATCGAACTTCCCGCACTCTCCACCTTCATCAATCCAAATTCATCACCTCCATTCTAGACACCTACTCCTTCTCTCCACTGAACCCCGCTGCCACTCCCATGGACACAAAGTTTCAGCCACCCGTGACTTCCTCCCCGCACTCCTCCTCCTTCCCTTACACCTCGTTTGTCGGATCCATCATGTATGCCATGGTGGGGACCCGTCCCGACCTCGCATATAGCGCTGGAGTTCTTGCTCGTCACCTTCACGATTGGTCTACTCCTCACGTCTCGGCTGCCAAACGCATTGCTCGCTACTTGAAAGGGACTACCTCCCTTGGGCTTCTCCTTGGTGGCATTCCCGACACCCTCGAACTTCATGGCTGGTGTGACGCCTCTTGGGGACCGGAGGGGGAGCTGCGTCGCTCCGTTACGTGCTACTTGTTCTTCCTCGGTCCGTCACTCATCTCTTGGCAGTCCAAACGCCAAGCCGTCGTTGCTACCTCTTCATGTGAAGCTGAATATTACTCTCTGGGCGCCGCGGTGCACGAGGCATTATGGCTTCGTTCGCTCCTTACTGCAGTTGGACTTCCCCCTACCGGCCCCACCCGTATCTCGTGTGACAACAACAGTGCCATCATTCTCGCCAAGGACGATGGCGTCTTTCATCCCAAGGCCAAGCACATCGACATCAAGCACCATTTCATTCGCGATCATGTTGCCGACCACTCCATCACCCTTCACTATGTTCCTACTCAAGACAACCTCGCTGACATTGGGACCAAGCCTTTGCCCCGTGACCCTTTTCTTCGCATCCGTGGTCTTCTCGGTCTCACCCATGTTTCCTCTTGAGGCACCCTACCCCGGGGACATCCTTGAGGGGGGGTGTTGTGGAAGCAAGAATGTCCCAGTGGGTACCTTTGGTCTTAGTGGTCGCGGGTTCAACTCTCATCGGCAGCACCTTCTCTTCTCATTATGCCGAACATGACACTCCCACACTCCACCACACTCACCCACAGTGAAGTATGGTCACAGTTGGCATTGCCATCTGTCCACCCATCCCATACTCACCTTGTTGGCTCCTATGGTGTGCCACATGCTGCCATGTAGGCTGTTGTTCCAGCCTGGCCCACATGTGCAACATGTGGCCTCAATTGCTAGCTTGGCAAGGTTGGCTAGCCCTGCCCTCAGCTTTGAGGTGCTGCAGCTAGCCTCAAGAGTTCAGCCACATAAATGTGGCTTCCCACTTCTCTAGAACTCATCCTTGGAAAGGACATTGCTCTAGCCTTTCAGGCTTGTACCATCTTCCTACTAAGGATATATTGTTCTTCTCTCATTGTGCCTCAAGTTCACCGATCCTCATTCTACAAGAACTCTCAAACCCGTTGTTGTAGATTTCACTTGTGTACAACAGCATGCCGGCGATGCTGAGTGTGTCACAGCCACGATTGTCATGCACAGCAGGCGTGCAGGCTGTACCTGGCTGTACCTGGCTGTACCTGGCTGTACCTGGCTGTACCTGGCTGTGCCTGGCTGTACCTGGCTGAGCATCTTTGTGTTCAACTTCTGTGAACGACTTTCAACGTCTTCATATGATGGGCCGGTCGCCTATGCAGATTAATCTCCCAGCCCTTGCCACCTTCCCTCAGTTGTCAGTTCCCTATGATGGTCAGCTCTCTCTGCCCCCCTGCCACCCACCCCCAGGTGCCGGTGCTCACAGCCTCGGTGCCTGTGGAGTTCTGAGGCTCCTCAAAAACCATCTCCTCCTGTCCTCACCGCACGCACGTGAGGCCCCCTCTCCTCCTGCTGCCTGCCCCCAGGTTCCCGTGCTCACAGCCTCGGTGCCTGTGGACCGAACCTGCTGCTATGCCCCGGGCTCCTTCCCTGCCTTCTGCGGACTCAAGGACAGCATGCGGTGAGAGGGCAACGCGTTACTCCCTATTGACTCTTGGAGATTTTCTTTTTAGATTTCTCAAACGTCGTCACAAGGTGTCAGTATACCTGCTTTTTACATAATACATGCCCCCTTCTTCTTCTCCTTCTTCTTCTTCTTCTTCTTCTTCTTCTTCTTCTTCTTCTTCTTCTTCTTCTTCTTCTTCTTCTTCTTCTTCTTCTCCTCCTCCTCCTCCTCCTCCTCCTCCTCCTCCTCCTCCTCCTCCTCCTCCTCCTCCTCCTCCTCCTCCTCCTCCTCCTCCTCCTCCTCCTCCTCCTCCTCCTCCTCCTCCTCCTCCTCCTCCTCCTCCTCCTCCTCCTCTTCCTCTTCCTCTTCTTCTTCTTCTTCCTCTTCCTCTTCCTCTTCCTCTTCCTCTTCCTCTTCCTCTTCCTCTTCCTCCTCCTCTTCCTCCTCCTCCTCCTCCTCCTCCTCCTCCTCCTCCTCCTCCTCCTCCTCCTCCTCCTCCTCCTCCTCCTCCTCCTCCTCCTCCTCCTCCTCCTCCTCCTCCTCATCCTCATCTCCCCCTCCCTTTCCCCACGGCCTGTCACACCAAGCTGATACACTGTGAATGCATCCAAGTTGGTGGAGTGTATGTGCCTGTACGGCCATGCCTTTATGGAGTGTATGTGCCTGTACGGCCATGCCTTTATGGAGTGTATGTGCCTGTACGGCCATGCCTTTATGGAGTGTATGTGCCTGTACGGCCATGCCTTTCCAAGCAAGCACGCTGCCCTGCTCTTTCCTCCTCGTAACTCCTCCCTGTTCCGGCCCAACTGCTCTGTCCCACCAGGGTGATACACAAAGTGAACGCACTCAAGGTGGTGGAGTGCATGGGGTCGGACGGTCATCCATTCGCACATCAAGCACGCTGATTTCCTCCTCCTCCTTCCCCCCGAACTTCCTCCTTACGGTACGCCCCTTCACCAGGGTGATGCACGGGGTGAACGCACCAAAGGTGGTGGAGTGTGTGGGATCGGACGGCCGTGTGTACAAGCAGCTCGCCAAGTCGGGCAATGATGACCTGCGCCAGGACGCTGTGGGTCGCTTCTTTCAGCCCTCCCTCTGATTATGTTCTTTGCTCCTCACCCGCCCTCTCTCCCCTCTGATTATGTTCTTTGCTCCTCACCCGCCCTCTCTCCCCTCTGATTATGTTCTTTGCTCCTCACCCGCCCTCTCTCCCCTCTGATTATGTTCTTTGCTCCTCACCCGCCCTCTCTCCCCTCTGATTATGTTCTTTGCTCCTCACCCGCCCTCTCTCCCCTCTGATTATGTTCTTTGCTCCTCACCCGCCCTCTCTCCCCTCTGATTATGTTCTTTGCTCTTCACCCGCTCTCTCTCCCCTCTGATTATGTTCTTTGCTCCTCACCCGCCCTCTCTCCCCTCTGATTATGTTCTTTGCTCTTCACCCGCCCTCTCTCCCCTCTGATTATGTTCTTTGCTCCTCACCCGCCCTCTCTCCCCTCTGATTATGTTCTTTGTTCCTCACCCGCCCTCTCTCCCCACTGCCACGGCGCCCCACCAGTGATGGAGCAGCTGTTGCGGCTCGTGAACTCTTTGACTTCCCCACTCTCTTCGCCCCCCCTCTCTCCCCACTTCCCATCTCTCCCCACCTCTTCCCACCGCGCCCCACCAGGTGTTGGAGCAGCTGTTCGGGCTGGTAAACTCTCTTATTCATCCCAATCTCCCCAACCTCTTCTCTCCCCACCACTCCCCCCCTCTCCCCACCTCTCCCCACCTCTCCCCACCGCGCCACACCAGGTGATGGAGCAGCTGTTCGGGCTGGTGAACTCGCTGCTGCAAGCCCACAAGGGGGCCACCAAGCGCCACCTCGCCATCCGCACCTACAAGGTGCGTCCCTGCAGGAGGCACATGGGTCGCATGGGTCGCATGGGTCGCACAGGTCGCACGGGTCGCACAGGTCGCACGGGTCGCACGGGTCGCACGGGTCGCACGGGTCGCACGGGTCGCACGGGTGGCATGGGTCACGTCAGCAACAACAGACTGCATGCCTCTCTCCCATTCGACTCCAATCACCACCTCTGCCATTCGCCCACCTCCTCTTACCACCTCGCACCTATCATTCCTGCTCCTGCCCCAACTGCATCCCCGCTCTCGCCGCCCCTCTCTCCCCTCCCTGCATGTCCTCTCAGGTGGTGCCATTCACTCCCAGCGCAGGTGACTTTTTATTCGACTGAAACTAACACCTTCCTTTGCCTCCCTCTGCTCCTCCCCCCTCCCCCTCCCGCCCCCCCATGGCGTGCCAGGTGGTACCATTCACTCCCAGTGCAGGACTGCTCGAGTGGGTGGATGGCACCCTGCCGCTTGGGGAGTACCTTCTAGGAAGGTGCGTGGACGAGAGCCGAGGCTAAAGCACATGCAGCAGGGGTGGCGGCGGGCTGGCTTGTGTGCACACGTGCAGGCACAACAAAGTGTTCCCACTTCGCATTTAAGACTTCTCAAAGACCACTTGGCATGTACGCCCATCCATCCACGCGTGAACAAGATGCCTTGCAGCGCACATCGCTCCGTATCAACCCTACAACCGCCTTCTGCTTTTCACCCTCTGTCCGCCTCCCCAACTCCCTCCCGCCTTTCCCCAACACCACCTGCTGACCCTTCTTCCCCACACTCTCTGCCCCATGGCCTGCTCGCATTTCCTCTCCTCTCATCGGCCCCATCCTCTCATCGGCCCCATCCTCTCATCGGCCCCATCCTCTCTCCCCACCCCACCCACGCGGCCAGTACTCGCAAGGGGGGGGCGCACGCACGCTACGGGGGCTCTGATTGGCCATTCATGACGTGCCGTGAAGTGATGGCGCGGGTAAGATGGGATGTGAAGTCATGCTCATGCTCTCCATTTGATCTGGTTGGGCGTGGGCCAGTGGAACCTTAGCCTTGCCTTGCTTATCTTGACTCCAAAATACAGTGGTGGGGGACAATACACGACGCCTTCATTCGGCAACGTCGTGATTACTTGCAAATATAGCTTTGTTTAATCTACCCTTTCTTTGCCTCGAAACCTCCATGCCCTCATTCCTTGCTTGTCCCTCGTCCCCCACTACCCATATGTGCATCCATCCATGCACAGGAAAGTGACAAGCGGCAAGCCTTCGACAAGGTTCTTCAGAACTTCCAGTAAGGTTCCTTTTCCAGTAAGGTTCCTTTTCCTCACACAGTTAGCCCCTTTCTCCTCACCTCACACTCAGCACCTACCCTTCACCTTTGTGTTACGTCCGTTTCATGTGAAGGTAGGTCGCATCAGTTGGTGTGTCATCCCTTGTCCACCTGTTCACCCTCTAAATCCCTAGAACCTTCTCCATCCCCTTCCACCTCTCCGCACCCCCGTCCACCGCTCTCCAGCCCTGTGATGCGCCATTTCTTCCTGGAGCGCTTCCTGCTGCCTGCCAACTGGTTCGACCGGCGCCTCACATACACTCGCAGCGTGGCTGCAACCTCCATGGTATGTGACAGTGCATGGTACGCATGCCATGCCACCTCCATGGTACGTGACAGTGCATGGTACGCATGTCATGCCACCTCCATGGTACGTGACAGTGCACGGTACGCATGTCATGCCACCTCCATGGTACGTGACAGTGCACGGTACGCATGTCATGCCACCTCCATGGTACGTGACAGTGCATGGTACGCATGTCATGCCACCTCCATGGTACGTGACAGTGCATGGTACGCATGTCATGCCACCTCCATGGTAAGTGACAGTGCATGGTACGCATGTCATGCCACCTCCATGGTACGTGACATTGCATGGTACGCATGTCATGCCACCTCCATCGTAAGTGACAGTGCATGGTACGCATGTCATGCCACCTCCATGGTACGTGACAGTGCATGGTACGCATGTCATGCCACCTCCATGGTACGTGACAGTGCACGGTACGCATGTCATGCCACCTCCATGGTACGTGACAGTGCATGGTACGCATGTCATGCCACCTCCATGGTACGTGACAGTGCATGGTACGCATGTCATGCCACCTCCATGGTAAGTGACAGTGCATGGTACGCATGTCATGCCACCTCCATGGTACGTGACAGTGCATGGTACGCATGTCATGCCACCTCCATGGTACGTGACAGTGCACGGTACGCATGTCATGCCACCTCCATGGTACGTGACAGTGCATGGTACGCATGTCATGCCACCTCCATGGTACGTGACAGTGCACGGTACGCATGTCATGCCACCTCCATGGTACGTGACAGTGCATGGTACGCATGTCATGCCACCTCCATGGTACGTGACAGTGCACGGTACGCATGTCATGCCACCTCCATGGTACGTGACAGTGCATGGTACGCATGTCATGCCACCTCCATGGTACGTGACAGTGCACGGTACGCATGTCATGCCACCTCCATGGTACGTGACAGTGCATGGTACGCATGTCATGCCACCTCCATGGTAAGTGACAGTGCATGGTACGCATGTCATGCCACCTCCATCGTAAGTGACAGTGCATGGTACGCATGTCATGCCACCTCCATGGTAAGTGACATTGCATGGTACGCATGTCATGCCACCTCCATCGTAAGTGACAGTGCATGGTACGCATGTCATGCCACCTCCATGGTAAGTGACAGTGCATGGTACGCATGTCATGCCACCTCCATAGTAAGTGACAGTGCATGGTACGCATGTCATGCCACCTCCATTGTAAGTGACAGTGCATGGTACGCATGTCATGCCACCTCCATGGTAAGTGACAGTGCATGGTACGCATGTCATGCCACCTCCATGGCATGACAGTGCATGCACGAGGCTGCATGCGAGCCATTCAATGGCACGGTGCATAGCACAGGGCACAGGGCTCGCCTAACCCTGCCCATTTCCACATGAGCCTTTGAACCCTCACCTCTCACCCTTGTGAGGCTCCTCACCCTTGTGAAGCTCCTCACCCTTGTGAAGCTCCTCGCCCTTGTGGAACAAGGTACCCCTGCAATGAAGCATGCAACCATTGTTCACCCCCGGACCTGCCTTGTGTGCATCACACCAGGTGGGGTATGTGGAGGGGCTGGGGGACTGGCACGCGATGAACATTCTGCAGCACCTCACCCCGGTTGTGAACGTGAAGTGTCTAACCCTTGTGCCCCAAACTGTCCTGCCTCGTTTGCTCTATTGCAGGTGGGGTACGTGGTGGGGCTGGGGGACCGGCATGCGATGAACATTCTGGTGGACGAGCGGTCAGCAGAGGTGGTGCACATCGACTTGGGGATTGCGTTCGAGCAGGGGCTCATGCTCAAGACGCCTGAGAAGGTGCGTGTGTGGGTGGGTGGCTGTACGTATAGTGTGTGCATGGGTGGGTGGCTGTAAGTGTAGTGTGTGCATGTAGGTTGATTGGAAGGCTAGGTGCACTCACTATGGGTGGTGAAGTCACCAGAGGTGGTGCACAATGCGCATCGACCTCTGCCTCCGTTCAGGAAGGGTCTCATGCTCAAGTCGCCCGATAATGATAGGTGGATGCTTTGATCAGTAGTGTTATTTCAGGGAGATTTATTGGGGTTTGTTAAGTGCGTGGAAGCATATACGGAGGTGGGGTGTGTTTCAAAAGTAAAGTGGCAAGTTCAAGTGGAAGGTGAATCATTCATGACTCGGAGTGATGATTGACCTATACTGCATATTTGTTGTTCTGCTGGACACTCAATGCACAGCCGTGGTGCACATCCAGCAGCACTGGTAGCGCGAGGAGCCCATAATCGTGCGCCACGTGATTCCAACCTCCGTGAAGGACGGGCTCAGCTGGGCGCCGTTCGTCATGTGCCCTGCGTTCTACGAGGCCGAGGAGGGGTGCAGCGAGCAGGAGGAGCTCACAGTGGTGGCCACAGACTGCGAGGACGGCACTGAGGTGGAGCTGGGCACTCACCAATTCTTTGGGGTGAGGTTCATGTACACCACTCTCGCACTCCCGTGTGCTCCACACCTTCATGCCAGGTGCCCTTCCGCCTCACGCGGGACATCATAGATGGCATGGGCGTGAGCGGAGTGGAGGGGGTGTTTCGGCGCTGCTGTGAGACGGTGCTGGCGGTGATGAGGGAGAACAAGGAGGCACTGCTGACAATCATCGAGGTGAGTGGAGTGGAGTGGAGTGGAGTGGAGTGAGTGATGCAGGACCCTGATCAGTAGCCAGTGCGTCCATTCTAGTCAGTGCTGCTGTCACAATAGCAAGTGCACCCATGCTAGTCAGTGCTGCTGTCACAATAGCAAGTGCACCCATGCTAGTCAGTGCTGCTGTCACAATAGCAAGTGCACCCACGCTAGTCAGTGCTGCTGTCACAGTAGCAAGTGCACCCACGCTAGGCAGTGCTGCTGCCACAATAGCAAGTGCACCCACGCTAGGCAGTGCTGCTGTCACAATAGCAAGTGCACCCATGCTAGTCAGTGCTCGGCAGTGCTGCTGCCATAATAGCAAGTGCACCCACGCTAGTCAGTGCTGCTGTCACAATAGCAAGTGCACCCATGCTAGTCAGTGCTGCTGTCACAATAGCAAGTGCACCCACGCTAGGCAGTGCTGCTGCCACAATAACAAGTGCACCCACGCTAGTCAGTGCTGCTGTCACAATAGCAAGTGCACCCACGCTAGTCAGTGCTGCTGCCATAATAGCAAGTGCACCCACGCTAGGCAGTGCTGCTGCCATAATAGCAAGTGCACCCACGCTAGGCAGTGCTGCTGCCATAATAGCAAGTGCACCCACGCTAGGCAGTGCTGCTGCCATAATAGCAAGTGCACCCACGCTAGTCAGTGCTGCTGTCACAATAGCAAGTGCACCCACGCTAGTCAGTGCTGCTGTCACAATAGCAAGTGCACCCACGCTAGGCAGTGCTGCTGCCATAATAGCAAGTGCACCCACGCTAGGCAGTGCTGCTGCCACAATAGCAAGTGCACCCACGCTAGTCAGTGCTGCTGTCACAATAGCAAGTGCACCCACGCTAGTCAGTGCTGCTGCCATAATAGCCAGTGCACCCACGCTAGGCAGTGCTGCTGCCATAATAGCAAGTGCACCCACGCTAGGCAGTGCTGCTGCCACAATAGCAAGTGCACCCACGCTAGGCAGTGCTGCTGCCATAATAGCAAGTGCACCCACGCTAGTCAGTGCTGCTGTCACAATAGCAAGTGCACCCACGCTAGTCAATGCTGCTGTCACAATAGCAAGTGCACCCACGCTAGTCAGTGCTGCTGTCACAATAGCAAGTGCACCCACGCTAGTCAGTGCTGCTGTCACAATAGCAAGTGCACCCACTCTAGTTAGTGCTGCTGTCACAGTAGCAAGTGCACCCACGCTAGGCAGTGCTGCTGTCACAATAGCAAGTGCACCCACGCTAGTCAGTGCTGCTGTCACAATAGCAAGTGCACCCACGCTAGTCAGTGCTGCTGCCATAATAGCAAGTGCACCCACGCTAGGCAGTGCTGCTGCCATAATAGCAAGTGCACCCACGCTAGGCAGTGCTGCTGCCATAATAGCAAGTGCACCCACGCTAGTCAGTGCTGTTGTCACAATAGCAAGTGCACCCACGCTAGTCAGTGCTGCTGTCACAATAGCAAGTGCACCCACGCTAGTCAGTGCTGCTGTCACAGTAGCAAGTGCACCCACGCTAGGCAGTGCTGCTGTCACAATAGCAAGTGCACCCACGCTAGGCAGTGCTGCTGCCACAATAGCAAGTGCACCCACGCTAGGCAGTGCTGCTGCCACAATAGCAAGTGCACCCACGCTAGTTAGTGCTGCTGTCACATGTGCACCCACGCTAGTCAGTGCTGCTGTCACAATAGCAAGTGCACCCACGCTAGTCAGTGCTGCTGTCACAATAGCAAGTGCACCCACGCTAGTCAGCGCTGCTGTGAGACGGTACTGGCAGTGATGCAAGAGAATAAGGAGGCGCTGCTGACCATCATTGAGGCTAGTGGTGCCAATAGCTACCAGACCATGTTGATTTATGCAGGATATGGTACAAGAGGTATTCAAAGAATGTGTCCCCCTGCCATCCTGCATGCCACCGGCGCCCTGGGTGCCCCTGTAGGTGTTCATCTATGATCCTCTTTACAAGTGGGCCCTCTCTCCGCTTAAGGCGCTGCATCGACAGAAGGTGCCTTCTTGCCCTCATCTTACACACTCATTGCACCTTTCCATTACACTCAAGTGAGTATCATTCCACTGATCCCTTTTTCTCTCACCAGTTTCCACTTGCTCGTGCATTGTTACCAAGCTACCATGCCACCTGTCTCAATCTCTGTCTGGTAATTTCTCAATCCGTGGCACTGCACGCGTTCCACTGCATGTGTGGCTCTGCACTCGTGGCGCTGCATGTGTGGCTCTGCACTCGTGGCATTGCACGCATGGCACTGTTTGTGTGTCACTGCACGGGTCCCCAGATGGAGGAGAGTGAGGAGGCGATGGAGGAGGAGGGGACGGAGGAGGAGAGCGGGGCAGCGATGGAGGGCAACGAGGAGGCCACGAGGGCACTGCTGCGAGTCAAGCAAAAGCTCGACGGCTTTGAGGACGGCGAGATGCGCAGCCTGGCTGGGCAGGTGAGGCAGCAGGGTGGGGCAGATGGTGCAGTGGGCAGGTAATGCAAGTAGCATATGTAGCTGTCCACGAGAGCGCTGCTGCGAGTCAAGCAGAAGTTGGACGGCTTTGAGGACGGCGAGATGCGTAGCCTGGCCAGGCAGGTGGGGCAGCATGGTAGCGTGTAGGTAGTGCAAGGGGCATATGTAACTGTTGGTGAGATGCGTAGCCTGGCTGGCCAGGCAGGTGGGGCAGCATGGCCGGGCAGGTGGGCGAGCATGACCAGGCAGGTGGGGAAGCATTGTAGAAAAGGTTGGGCAGCTAGCATATATAACTGTCAAAATGGGTGCATCTATGTTCCTAAGTATAGCATTGTTCACCTCTTCTCATTGCCATCAGCCTGCATCTCTGTTTGGCCCCTCACCCCTGCTCCCCGCCATTGCAATGCATCTCTCCACTTCTTTGCTGCACTGCTTTGCTCCATGCCTTGCTCTACGGCTACCAGGTGCAGCAGCTGATCAAGGACGCACAGGACCCCGACCGCCTTGCCGTCATGTTTCCAGGATGGGGAGCTTGGCTGTAGCATGGCTTTCTGTAACTTGGCTAAAGCATGCCGTACTTGTATCATTGCTGCAGCATGCTTGCAGCATGGCTGTAGCACAGCCGCACCATGTTGGTAGCATGGCAAGAGCATACTTGTATCATTGTTGCAGCATGTTGGTAGCATGGCAAGAGCATACTTGTATCATTGTTGCAGCATGTTGGTAGCATGGCAGGAGCATACTTGTATCATTGTTGCAGCATGTTGGTAGCATGGCTAGATCATAATAGTTCTAAGCAATGTAGCTAAGCATATACGAGAGGGCTTGCCTGTGATGCATTTATCTCATGAAGGAGCTATACCTGTAACGGGTGTAATGCCCACCGGTCCGGAGCCACCCCTCCACGACGAGCCTAGCTTGGACATGACCCTTGTTCGCAACAAGTCCACAATACCCTCAGGGCAGTCGGCCAGACCTAACTTGGAAACACCACAGCCCCTAGGGCACGGCAAACCCAGAAACCAACATCCTAGGGAACCTTACACTTGGCATCTTGGTTGCATGCTTGTTCATGGCAAGGAGATATCTCTCACTACAGACTACAGAGTGTGGCAGCACGTAGGAGCTTGGCCATCACTCTCGGTGTTGTTACTACGTACATATCACGGATTTGGAGTCAAAATTGTATTACGATATTGAACAAAGAAAATGTACAGGGTGACACATCAACTACGGCATTTAAGCACCGGGGGTGAAGTTGGTGGCATAGGCCCACGCGTTGTTGACGGTGGGGTCAGCCAGGTGGTCGGACAGGTTCTCCAGGGGGCCCTTGCCGGTGACGATGGCCTGCACGAAGAAGCCGAACATCGACACCATGGCGAGGCGGCCGTTCTTCAGCTCCTTCACCTTCAGCTCCGCAAGCGCATCGGGGTCGTCGGCCAGACCCAGGGGGTCGAAGGCACCGCCGGGGTACAGGGGGTCCTCAACCTCCTGGAAGCCCTCAAGGCCACCCACGCGGTAGCTCTCGACGGCACCCATGAGGATGACCTGGGTGGCCCAGATGGCCAGGATGGACTGCGCGTGGATCAGACTGGGGTTGCCCAGGTAGTCCAAGCCACCCTCGGAGAAGATCTGCGCGCCGGCCTTGAACCACACGGCCTCGCCGAAGTTCACGCCGTTGCCGGCCAGCAGCTCAGGGGTCAGGCAGCCGAGCGCGCCGAGCAGAGCCCACCGAGCGTGGATCACCTGAAGATTTAGAAACAGGTGAAGGAAGAGAAAAAAATCGTCAGAACCTTAAAACAGCGAGCGTTGCAAAGCAGCAAAGATGATAGCATTTGGTAATTTCTGTAAACTAACAGGGTGAAACATCTCATGGTTGGTCCTTTTAGCGATGAATATTCTTGCGTACGTAATGTACCTCCTTTGTGTCGTTAGCAAATCTGGTAGGCTTACCTCAAGCTCGCGGTTCTTGGCAAAGGTCTCGGGATCAGCGGACAGACCCGCCGTGTCCCAGCCGTAGTCGCCGGGGTACTCGCCGGTGAGGTACGACGGGGGGGAAGAGAACGGGCCCAGGAACAGGTTGCGGTCGGGACCGTAGAAGGCGCTGCTGGAAGCCGCCTTGGCGGTCTTCCTCATCGTCACGCGGGCCTCGACATTGTTCACCTTGGCGGCGAGCTCAGCGCTCTGGCCGACGAAGGTGGAGGGGAGCACAGCAACGTTAGCGAGAGCAGCCATGCTGTATGTCTGGGCTGGGAAGAGAAGCTGTTTTGAGTGTTGTAAGTAAACTGGAATTGAGCTTCTGCTTCTGCTGAGAGACGATTCTCTAGCGACTTATGAACCAAAATTGCGTGTGGGGAAACTGGTTGGATGGAGTCATGGGTGGGTCTAGGAGCGTTCTGATTGGATGGTATCTGAGTATGAACCGCGCTTGACGCCTGAAGATCTCCTTTCCTCAGCACCCAAAATCCACGCAATCAGGGCTCAACCAATTGCGAGGACCCTGGTTGGTTACCATCTGATGTTGTTTTGTGGTGTCGGTGTGGTTGCACCACGGTCGTTTCGCTAGGCTGTGCGATGAAAGTCTGTGGAACAAAGTACGTTCTTCGCCGATGCTGCGAAGCAAAGCGAACGCCAAGGAAACACGTTTCCATGAAATGTGGTGATTTCGTTTTTCCTGTGACGTGGCGTGCAATCTAATTGGTTGAGCATGCTGCTCGATTTTCCATCGTCGCTTTCATCACCTCACCCAAAATGGAGCAAGTGTGGACCACACGACGATTGTGGGGTCAGATCAAACAGAAGTGGATGTTTTCTGGGGTGTGTGTGGGTTGGGCACGGTTTATACTACATCACTCAGCTTCCCTAGAGGTGTGCCTATGGCGGGTGTATCGGTGGTGGGATGGGGCGTGGTGGGATGAGGCAAGCTGGGGTGGGGTGTGCTGGGATGAGGGAGCCGAGTGACATTGCGGTTGGTTCTGTGATTGTATCGTTTAGTCAAGAAGTCAGAGCCCGAACAATTTCCAACGTGCACAGACAAGTCGCCATGACAGCACTTATCTCGTCAGAGGTGGGCAACTGAGCACACATCACATTAGTTTTGACTTGCGGAAGGCTTGGTGCGTTGCTGTTCGTTACTTTGCGGTTCATGGTGGGCAGTCGTGAACTATGTAGTTTCCGCACTTGCGAACAGTCAACCACAAACTCAGCGATAAGCTAAGCGAACTGGTGCAGTCTGGAAACCTATGTCTCGTCTTCTGAGGTTAATCTTCTCACTTGTGAGCTTGGCGACATCTCCAATTTCAGTCTGAGAAACCTTATTTGCTTTTCACTGACTCGCTTTGCGGCACCAGACAAACAAAAAAACGATATTGCGAAGTCATCATCTTGACTTGTAACTCTTCCAATAGAGCATAATTCGCGTTGGAGGAAGTAACATGCCACCCGCTACTGTCAACAATGCGTCTATGACAATACGGTATATTGTTTCAGACTCCCATGAGTAAATGGTGCAAAACAAGAAGTAATTTAGTTGCATAGAGAAGTTACGTTTTATTAATGAAAGTGAAAAAAATGTACAGGGCTTATTTATCTAAGCACCGGGGGTGAAGTTGGTGGCATAGGCCCACGCGTTGTTCACGGTGGGGTCAGCCAGGTGGTCGGACAGGTTCTCCAGGGGGCCCTTGCCGGTGACGATGGCCTGCACGAAGAAGCCGAACATCGACACCATGGCGAGGCGGCCGTTCTTCAGCTCCTTCACCTTCAGCTCCGCAAGCGCATCGGGGTCGTCGGCCAGACCCAGGGGGTCGAAGGCACCGCCGGGGTACAGGGGGTCCTCAACCTCCTGGAAGCCCTCAAGGCCACCCACGCGGTAGCTCTCGACGGCACCCATGAGGATGACCTGGGTGGCCCAGATGGCCAGGATGGACTGCGCGTGGATCAGGCTGGGGTTGCCCAGGTAGTCAAGGCCACCCTCGGAGAAGATCTGCGCGCCGGCCTTGAACCACACGGCCTCGCCGAAGTTCACGCCGTTGCCGGCCAGCAGCTCAGGGGTCAGGCAGCCGAGCGCGCCGAGCAGAGCCCAGCGAGCGTGGATCACCTGATAGGGTGACGAGACGAAAGAAAAACAGGAGATGGTGACGGTAGGAATGAAGAGATCCCGAGTAGGCTAATGCAGGCCGCACAACGGCCTGGACCAATTCAGTGGACTGATGCTAGAAAGCATCATCAACAATTACAGAAAAAACTCGGGTTCGAGAAGCAGGGCTGGTGACGATACGAGCAGAACAATATGAAAGATTGCTATTGCAAGCCGCAAAAACGAAATGAACGATTCTGGAAAACGTTCTTATCTCTGTAAAGGGAAATCGGGGTCAAATGTTTAGTTATGAATCTGGTGTGGCTTACCTCCAGCTCGCGGTTCTTGGCGAAGGTCTCGGGATCAGCGGACAGACCCGCCGTGTCCCAGCCGTAGTCGCCGGGGTACTCGCCGGTGAGGTACGACGGGGGGGAAGAGAACGGGCCCAGGAACAGGTTGCGGTCGGGGCCGTAGAAGGCGCTGCTGGAAGCCGCCTTGGCGGTCTTCCTCATCGTCACGCGGGCCTCGACATTGTTCACCTTGGCGGCGAGCTCAGCGCTCTGCCCGACGAAGGTGGACGGGAGCACAGCAGCGTTAGCGAGAGCAGCCATTGTGGATGTGTAAAAGCTGCTGTAAGAATTCCTGGATGGGTGTGGCTTTACTGCTGGGACTGGCCGCTCTTTTGAACTTGGGCTTGGTCTTGGTTGGGCTTGGGCTTGGGCTTGGTTTGGGGGGGGGGAGAGGTGTTGTTGGATGCTGACTCATCGCGGACCGCGTGCATTCCAGGTGCCCGACGCTCCGAAATCTCCTCACCCGCTCGCCCGAAATCCAGGCAATCTGATCTCGACCAATAGCGATGGGACTTCTTTTTGCATATTTCTGGTGGGTTGTGCTCTACTGGTGGTGTGCCTGGCGACAGTGTGTGCGAGGTGTTGAATTTGTCTTCGCAAATTTGAATTTGGGCCAAGCAGCTCAGCCAGCCAGATTTTGGTGTGAGCGATGTGCAATCTGATTGGGCAACGATGATCTTTAGTGGTCGTTTAAATCAAACACACCCGGAACCACTCTCAAACGTTCCAAACCATCATCTCGTCAAGCTCCAGGAGACCCGAATGTCGTGTTACGGTCTGGGGGGTTGTGTGAGCATCTAGACAGGTGGACAAATCCTAGTCAATGTTTCTAAACTAAAAGGAATTTTCTCTCTATTCCTTACTGCGATCTTCAACATCGCGGCCCTGTTCGACGGGCTAACACTTTGCAAAAGGCGAGTGTTAGGCTAGTGTTAAGGGGAGGGTTTGATGTTATAACTGAAGGATCGCAGTGGATAAGATAAGGCTGTCAAGTATAAGAGAGAGAACTGTGAAGTCTCTCTAATGACCTTCTTAATAAGTTGAAAGAGAACAAGATAATTATAGGATAGGAGTCAGTGCCCTAGATATCAGACTTCAATTCTGATTCAGAGTCCGTTCCGACTCTTTTTGTTAGAATAAGAACGAGGAATAACTATAAACAGGGTGGTACACTGTTTGTATAGGCAAAACCTAACAATACTGTACCCCATAAGAAGTGCCCCACTAGAGCCTACAATATAGTTCTGACACACACCCATAGACAAAGCGGGGGACAAGCAAGGGAACAAGGCAAGGTCATGCTCAGGGTGGATCACAACGTTAGCACACATTCTGAGCACAAGTTCAAGGCCACAAAGCTAGTCCACATGCAGGATTATAAATTCAGGTGAACAAACAAGACAGTGATATCAACCTAACAAGGACAAGCATGCAGGTGCAGGTACCGTAATCACCCCTATATTAGACCCCCACCAGTTGTAGACCCCCTGGGTCTAAAATACGGATGGGGGTATTCTATTCGAGTACATCAGAGTTATGCCCCCATAAACGACTCCTAACATTACAAGACCCCCCCACATCCTAGAGAAGTGGGGATTTTACAAAAATGCAATTAAAAAGGCCGAGACAACACTGCGCGCTGGGCCATCGAACGGTGTCCTGCGCTGTCGTGTGAACACAAAGTGGTGTTTATGGCCAATCAGACGAAGCTCCCATAGAGGGTTCCTGATCACGTGGTTACGGCTTGTGTGGAGACTGATTCGAGTATTCTTGGGAGGAACTAAAAACGAAGCAATTTCAAATCACTTCATTGAGCTCCAAAATTACATCATTATAAATGCCAATTACATCCTTATAAATGCCAATTACATCCTTATAAATGCCAATTTCATTGAGCTCCAAAATTACATCCTTATAAATGCCAATTACACCCTTATAAATGCCAATTACATCCTTATAAATGCCAATTACATCCTTATAAATGCCAATTTCATTGAGCTCCAAAATTACATCCTTATATACACAATTTAATTATATCCCCTAGCTTTTTATGGGTGATTATCATAAGATCCTAGGGTCTTATATACGGGTGATTACAGTATACATAGATCACAGTACAAGCAAAGTCAAGAGGTGAGTAAGTGAGGCCCTGTAGGAACAAGACCTAGCATACTACAAAAATGCTGTACCCGGGCTTTATAGTGCCTTCGTGAAGATATCAGCAGTGTTGGCCTGAGTGAGAAAACCGAAACGAGAATGAATTGACGAAGAGAAAGTTGGGTACAGATACTAACCCTAGAAAGCTGTACCCTATATGTGCTACCATACTATAGCCTACAATAGCCATTTGATCTAAATCTTACACACCCCCATAAGCAAAGTGGGGGAGTACAAGGGGTCACAAGGCCAGTCAAGCAAAGCAAAGCAAGGAAAGCTCAGGGTGGATCTCAAAGTCACCACACAGTACGAGCACAAGGTCAAGGCCACTAGACCAGTTCACATGCACGAGTACACATATATATACATAAAAAGGCTAGACAAGCAAGAGCAGGAGTATATATATATATGTATATATAGCAGTACAAGCAAGGTCAAGAGGTGAGCAAGTGAGGCAAGACAGACACAAGACCCAGCTGAGTACAGAAGCGCTGATGATCACAAGGTGCAAGTGCCTTGGCGAAGATATCAGCAGTGTTGGCCTCAGAGGCCACGTACGCAAGGTGCAACTGACCATGCTGCTGCAGCTCACGAGCAAGGAAGTAGCGAAGAGCAATGTGCTTCGTTCTGTGCTCCAGTCTCTGCTCTCGACACAAGTCGACCATGGCCTTGTTGTCTACGTACAGCACTGGAGGAGAACGAGGCGGCTCTCCAAGGTGAGTCAGCAAGTAGGTAAGCCAGCGAAGCTCCTGTGCAGCCATGGCCCCGGCGTAGATCTCAGCCTCACAACTCGAGCCGAGAACAGAAGACGAGCGAGTAGCACGACAAGAAACAGAGCCGGAACCAAGGCTGAAGGTGTAGCCCTATGACGACAGCTGCGTAGCCTGGTCGTCAGCCCAAGAAGCGTTTGCGAGCCCAGTGAGGACCACTGGACTCTGCCCTCCTAGCACAAGCCCTAAGCCCTGTCAAGTTATAATATTGTGTAGGCTATAGTGGGGTAGCCTATATGGGGTACACATCTCTAGGGTTGCATATTTGTATCACTTCCATTCATAGTTCATTCATCCTCGTTCATCTCTTCTCATGCCCGACATACTGCACAGGTAGCGCAACACCCTCTTCGTTGCGGCCATGTGCTCCGGTCTGTGTCTCCCAGGAGCAACATAGCGCGCGAGAATGCTAAGAGCGTATGCAAGGTCAGGACGAGTGCAGGTCATCAGGTACATGAGGCAGCCAACAAGCTCTGAATACGGGCCACTCGACTCTACGGACTCATCCGAAGGCAAAGCTGAGAGTGAGTGGCGAGTAGGCAGAGGAGTGGCCTGAGGCGAGGAGTACGTGGAGCTGAAGCGTTGAAGGACCTGCTCCACCATGTGTGACTGAGTCAGAGTAATGGTGCAGCGTGCTCCGTCTCGGGTGATCTGCAAGCCAAGGTAGCTCCGCAGTTCACCCAGGTCTGTGCAAACGTATCTCTTCTGTAGCTCGGACTTCACGTGGGCGAGTCCAGCAGTGTTAGGTGTGGCAAAGACCAAGTCGTCGACGTACACGAGGATGTAGAATGGCGGCAAAGAAGTGTCGGTGCGCAGAAACAACGACGGGTCGGCAGTAGAGGGAGCAAACCCTAGAGCCGCAAGCGTAGTCATACGTGTGTCGTGCCACTCACGCGGTGCATGGCGGAGACAGTAGACTGGCCGCCGGAGGCTCCACTGGGTGCCAGGAGGAAAACTCCCAGTGAAGCCAGGTTGGCGGCGCAGCCAGATCTCCTCGTGACGGCTACCCTGCAAGAAAGCAATGCATAAGTCAAGAGAGTGAAGCTCGTAGTCGCGCTGAGCGGCTTTGTGCAGCAGCACCCGAAGAGTAGTCATCTTCGGGGTGGGAGAGAAGGTCTGAAATTAGTCAACTCCCTGCCGCTGACTGAAGCCACGAGCCACGTACCGCGCCTTGAAGACAGGTGGAGAACATGGCGGTTGTTTCACCATGAAAATCCACATGCCACTGACGATGTTCGCCCCAGGCGGGGGAAGCGCGTCAACGTAGGTGCCTGTGGACTTCTAGGAAGCCATCTCTGCGTCCATAGCTGCCTGCCACTGAGAGGAGTAGGGACCCTCTATCGCCTCCGCGTAAGAGCGCGGAGTCGGGATGTCAAGTGCATCCGGGTCTCCCTCAGGGGTAAGCAGTACGGACACGAGATAAGGTGAAGCAGCAGCCAGACACTGGAACTCCTCCTGCTTGTCCTCAAGGACGTCCGTTCCAAGAGCACACTCACCCCCGACGGACTGAGGACAGACAGATGCAGACTCAGCAACAAGACTAGCATCGTAGTCTAAACGACAGTGAGCAACCAAGTCGATGAGCTCATCAACCAGGGCAGACGAAGTAGTGGACTCAAAGGAGGGGTAAGTGACGACAGTAGCAAGGAGACGCGTGACAGTAGGAGTGGCAGCATGAAGAGATTCCGACTCTGGGCCGGCAAGAGCAAGAAGCGAGGATTTAGGAGGAGAAGGCAAAGGGACACGGAGAGGAGCAGTGGACGGACGCAGAGACATCCGGTGCGCGCAAGGTACAGGAGGAGGACGCTGACGCGAACCATGACCACTAGTGCGAGCAGGACGAAAAGGCAACGCAGGATGAGACGCAGGCTCACGATGCTCTGCAAGACCTCCAGTAGGACCCTAGGGTGAAGGTTGATCTGATGTGCTGCGTACCGAACCGCAAACAGCCACAGAAAATGAGGGGCAGCCGCATGCATCATGGACGTACGAGCGACGTCCATGACCATGCCAATGCGGCGCTCAGCAATCCCATTTTGCTGTGGAGAGCTCGGAAGCGTAAAGGTCTGGCGGATGCCTCGTGCAGGACAGTAGGCTCGTAGAAGGCGAGAGGAGAACTCTCTGCCTCGGTCAGAGTGCAGATGCAGAACAAGAATGTCCGAGCCGAAGCTCCTCCTGAGCTGGAGACGAGCTGCGCGGATCCACTCGATCAACACCTCAGTGACATCACCCTTGCTGCGCAAGGGGAAGACTGTGGTGTAATGCAAGTAGTCGTCAACCACCAGCAGGAAGTAGCGCTCGTGACCCTGTCCACGGACGCGGGCCGGGCCCCAC